TTTCCAATCTCTGGGGATCTCAGACGTTACGAAAGAGAGGTTGAACAGGCTAGTAATAGGGGTTGCGACAATTTCGGCGGCTAGTTTTAGAAAGAAAGGGTTTAGATTGTCTAGCCCAGATGATTTGTAGGGGTCCAGATTTTGCAGCTCTTTCAGAACATCAGCTGTCTGGATTTGTGTGAAGGAGAAGCGGGGGGGGCATGGGCAAGTTGCAGCGGAGGGTGCAGAGCTGGTGGCCGGGGTAGTGGTAGCCAGGTGGAAAGCATGGCCAGCCGTAGCAAAATGCTTGTTGAAATTCTCGATTATTGTAGATTTATCGGTGGTGATAGTGTTTCCTAGCCTCAGTGCAGTGGGCAGCTGGGAGGAAGTGCTCTTATTTTCCATGGACTTGGGGTATGGTAGTAAGTATGAATGGGGTATGAATGGGGTATGGTAGTAAGTGCAAGGCGCACCAGTTTGTGTCAAGAACTGCAACGCTGCTGGGTTTTTCACGCTCAACAGTTTCCTGTGTGTATCAAGAATGGTCCACCACCCAAAGGACATCCAGTGAACTTGACACAACTGTGGGAAGCATTGAGTAAACATGGGCCAGCATCCCTGTGGAACGCTTTCGACAACTTGTAGAGTCCATGCCCCGACGAATTGAGGCTGTTCTGAGGGCAAAACGGAGAGTGTTTTTTCATGTATGAATCTGTTATTCAATGTGTTTCTATAGGCTAATGTTAGTAAGGCCAAATTCAGTGTTTCATAAAATATTTGTAAAATACTTTTGGGGGTTACCTAAAGGGGTCCTAAAATTCCAACAGTGATGCTTTGGTGATGTTATGGGGACAATATGATGATGTTCTGGGGACATTATGGTGATGTTATAGGAAAATTAGGGGGATGTTAAGGTGATGTTATAGGAGCATTGTAGGGACATTATGGTGATGTTCTGGTAACATTTGGGGACGTTCTAGTGATGTTATGGGGACATTATGATGATGTTATGTGGAAATGATGGTGATGTTATGGGGCTATTATGGGGATGTTATGGGGACATTTTGTGGATGTTATGGTGATGTTATGGGGCTATTATGGGGATGTTATGGGGACATTTTGTGGATGTTATGGTGAAGTTATGGGGGCCTTCTCTTAGATCCCTCTCTGAGCTCTCACCAGATCATACATCATTCTGTGGGGACTCCAATTACCCAGTTTCTCCAAATGAGATGGCTCACTTTAGAAATCAGTCATGGCTTAGTGAAATATTCATTATCTAACTGCTTTTAAATGCAAAGCTGCACAATCATTTTCCAAGTATCAAACGCTCTCTCACCCCATATGAGTCTGTGATCATCAAGCATTTCGCTACACCCACTATAACATCTGCTAAACACGTGTATTTTGATTTGATTTGATCCTCTGCCAATATTGTGTAATCTGATGGAATTTAATAGGCTGGTGTGTTTGTTTCTTGGTGTATGTTGTTCTCTTTGGCCAGGCAGTAGCCAAATGCTGGTTGCCCTTTTGGATTTGGAGTTCAGGTGGATTGTTTTGTCACTCAACATTTCTCCACACTCGTTGGTCCCCTTATTTCTGAAGGATTGGCTATGTCATATTAATCATCAGCTGCTGGCACTCTCATCGCACCCCACTCTTCACCACTTTACATTAGTGTTATTCCTTTCTAGTTTCAGTACAACATGCATACAACATGCATACGGGTGAATGGCTTTAATTAAGAAGTCATTGTGTTCCTTGGTTGGATTGAACTAGGCCTAACCTAACAATGAATTTCACAACATAGGTCTAGGCCTAGTTTTGTGTATTGCTCCATCCATTCTCTGTTGGTCAATCCCTTCCCCAATTAGTTGGACCACAGGGCTCTTTTATACCTGTCCAGGGGAGACATGTCTGTAACTGTAACTGTCTGTAACTGTAGCCTATACTGTATAACAATGACCCATTCAGCCCCAAGCCCCATTGTTGACGTTGGTAAGGCGATAGCACTGCTTTTGATAATTACCTAGCCGACAGGTGGTCACCCAATACTACACTATCTAGTGAGCAAGCCTCTGTCTGAGGAGAAATCAATATTATAATTTCAGACAGTAACCTTTAGGCTGGAAAATAAGATGCTGGTCGCTGGCAGTGCTTGTTCTGCAGTGCATGCACTGGAATTCTTGTCTGTGTTCTCATTAATAGTAATTCATGTCAATTAAGAGGGTGGATTCCTTGAATAGGTTGCTTTGTTGAGAGTGGCGATGCTACACTTTAAACCTGACTATCAAAACAAGGTAAGCTGACCTACACAGTTCTGTTACATGTTACTTAGGCTACACCCTGGTCCCTATCTGTGACCAAATCATGCATTTCATCATGAATGTTTTAAGAAACAAACAATTGTATTTATCTCACTACAATACCAGTCTTCTGGACTGTTTACCAGACCATTGTGTAGATAGAGGTTCAGCATGTAGGCTATATTGCCCAAATATAAATTGTCAATCAGAGGAATGGATTTTACAGTACTGGGGATTCATAAAAATACAGAGATGGGTAGTAACACGTTACAAGTAACACGTTACAGTACTTGAATCGTTTTTTTTTTTAGGAATGTGTACTTTTACTTTTACTTGAGTAAATTCTGAAGGGAAAAACATACTTTTTAATTTTTTTTCAAATGTATCAAAACCGTGTGAATATCACTGTCTTATTGCTTTTGTCAGATTTAAATTGGCTGCAAAAGGCTCTGTTTTTTGTTTGCCTTTTAGATTTGATTAAAATAACTGGTTAGTTAATAGAAAAGCATGTCACAAGTATCATTGTTCAGTGTAAAACCTTATACATTTTCGATCAACTTACGCAATAAAATAAGCTACTGTAAGAACATAAACAAAACATTGATAGAATGAAAAATAGGCAGATGTGTATTGGAGAAGAAAGTCAGTAAATTAACTTGTATTCAGTGGAACTAAGGAGCGTTTCCACTAACTCTTGTTGTTTGATAAATTAGTTTGCTATTGTAGATCTGCATCAAGGCTGTGCTACTCATAAAAAATATAGGCTAGTATTAAAATACACTGTCCACAATGTTTTGGTCATTACAGTAATATCAATGCAGTTTGGATCATTCATTTGGATTATGAGACAGCTCGCATCTTCAGATCAATGCCACATTATGTATTCGGGTAGGTAGCACATAGAGCAGTGATTTAATTGCCCCCCCCCCCCCAAGTTTCCTGAGCAAAATGTTTTATTGTTTAAACACCAGCAAATCAGCTCCAATGGTAAACAATGTGGAAATATGTTCAAAGGTATTCCCACGCATAATAGAGAGATATGTGATCATATACAAATGTAAGCAAGGTTTGAAATGATTATATGTTAGTCAAATATATATATAATAGTATATATATATATGTTTGGGCTTCTTTCTGTCAGTTTGCAGTCTACAAATTATTTGTAAGGATGTTCCGGCTCCCTGACCATCCGCTCAAGAAAAAATCGGCCGGCGGCTGAATGTAGTTGATGATCCCTGACATAGAGGCTTATATAGAGGCCTCACCGCATGGGTTCTCTATGGGTTAGAGAGGTCAAGGTGGGACACAATACCTGACACAGTAATAGGGGATTATGAAGGTTCCTTTTCCACTGTTTTGTCACCTGCACAATGGCATCATGAAGGCCTGGTGTACAATATACAGTGGCCTTCTACTGTGATACCCATCACCTGTGGCTGTGTCATGTGCCGGAGCTTGGCAACTTGCCTGCCTCTTTAAATTGTTTGAATAGTTTATAGGAGATTTTAACTTCACTGACAGTTGGATCAGTTTAAAGCAAGGTGGGGAGCAAACAAAGGCATGCCAGTTAATTTCCTGAGTGATCACAGCCACTCTTATCTTCTCTACAGCACTCACTGATCTCTATCTGTAGCTACATAGATTATAGATGGTCGTTTGGGAGCTGTCTTTGATATGAGGAGCTAGGTGTCATGTCTCGAGCATTTAGAAAACAGCTCTGGAAACAGAGTGTCTCAAGAGTGATCAAGGTAAGAGATTGTCACAGTAGCATTTATATGATGATAGAAGGAGATGGAGTAGAGCTACTGGAGACAACAAGCACCCAGTTGGTCCTCGCCAAATAATGGTTAGGGATGGGTCATCTATTTGATCACAGATTGGGGCCAGTATGGTGTTCATGTTGTTGACTGTTTGATATATGTATAGGCTCCGGAGTATAACTGAACTGAGATCAGTCGTTGGTTAGGATTGGCTCTCTGTCTTGTTCTGTAGAATTTTGTCAATTCTGTCGAAACAAGCAATTTCAGTCAGTATTTTCTTGTTTCATTTTATGATACAGACATTGTTTGCAATGCAATCGAATGGATAACAAGACACACAACGCCCAAAAGCACGTGTCACGACTTCCTCCGAAGCTGCCTCCTCTCCTGGTTTGGGCAGGCTTCGGCGTTTGTCGTCACCGGCCTTCTAGCCACTGCCGCTCCTCATCTCATCATTCCATTTGTTTTGTCTTGTCTATTACACACACCTGGTTCATATCCCCTCATCAGTACCTGTATAAGTGTTCCCTCTGCCCCCTTGTCTTTGTGTGGGATTGTAGAGGAGATAATAGCTTGGTGGAGCTGGATTCTATTGTGTATCGCTGAGTTATTCACCCGTGTGCCTTTATTTCTCCAGTACGCCGTTTGTCCGCACTGGTGTGTATTACGCATTGCTGCGTACCTCTGGTTATTGATTAAACCATTTATTCCGTGATTTCCTCTCCTGCGTCTGACTCCGTCCATCATCACCCACTACAACATGTAACAGCTATCAGTCCTTTTCTCCTGAAGTATTTCTTGATTTGTTTTGTCAGGATATTTTCATTCTAGCCATTCAGTTCTTATCTGAGCTGAAAGCTTGCAGACAGTTGTGGCTGCCATTGTGTAAGCCTGGTGCTTGGTGTGCTGTAGTGTTTGTCTGTGGGCTGATGCCTGAGGTGGCTGTTTGCTCATCATGAAAGCCTTTGACTGGAATCACTGCCAGCCCAGGAAGCAGGTATGATGTGTGTGTGTGGGCAGTCGCCCAGCAACCCCTGTCTTGGCTAGCTTATATAAGCATGTATTTCCCTCCAGTGGTTCTGTTCAGGCAGTGTTAAATCAGTATTGTGCTGTCTGGCCTGTGTTGCACATGCTGACACACCGGGGGCTGCTTCTAATGGCACCCTTTTCCCTACATCGTGCACTACTTTTGACCAGAGACCAAGCAGGGCACCGTATAGGGAGTAGGGTCCATTTAGGATGCAGTCTGGGGCTTGTATTTGTCCAATAGGTCAATAGCTGTGTTTGGTCTTTCGTGTCCAGGCTTGTTGACTGCTGGCTGCTGCCTCTGATCTGATGCATGACATCAAGGCTTGCTGTAAATCTTTAGCCATATTCTTCTGCTATCTTCTTCCGCAGCCTTCTTCTACTCCCACCAGATACCTGGATGGAACTCATGTGGAGCTATCTTTCCATTGGGCTTATCCATTGGGGTTATCAATTAAGCCATAGTAAATGTGACTCAGACTTGGCCAAGACGTCTTTAAAGTGCAATAGAGACAGACCAGTGAGCCGGTTTGGCATGAATAACTCAACAGTCTGAATGTGACCACACTTTATCCATGGCATCGAATGCATTCTTAGGGGCAAATGTATAGTGTTTGCCAAATAGTAGCATGCCAGTGTAGATGCAAAGAAATGCAGGAAAAGCTTAAGTGTGCTTAGTATTCCTGATCTGCTGGTAAATGGTCTGGCCAGTAGCTATAAAATGTTTTGCTGTTAAGTTGCAATGTGCTGCTCCAAAAGGGCCTAGATCCAAAAATAGACTGACCCGTGCAAGTAAAAGGTAGCTTGACCTAGAATGAAAAACCTCTCCAGACAACACAGGCTAAATTTCGGACTGTCAATTGGGAACATAAAACCAGAGTTTGAAAGCATCTGCATCCGGCCCACGATATACAACACAAAGTCGGCTTCATTTATTGGCTTGCCTTTTTCCTGCCGTTACCAAGCAACTCATTGTAGTAGATTTTACTATCTCTATTCTGTCTGTCCTCTTTAACATGAGGCCCCCAGCCACTAGGCTATCCAGGGTAGTGTTATAGGCTAGCCAGAGTGTGATGGTAATGTTCTATCTGTGCTGTTTGTGCTACTGTCTGGATATTTGACTGTATATAACAAGTGGATAGCTAGTGGGTAGGAGTGGTAGAGAAGACACAGAGAAAGAGGCACAGCTCAAGAGTCTGGAGTATATGGACAATGTTTTATCGGAGGTCATGGTTCAAGAGATTTCCATGAAGCAATAGGCTATCACTTTCATTTTCACTTCTTCGTGTGAGATTTTGCTATGTTTTTTACTGTTTTTTAATGGATTTCTACTGTTAATAACAAAGCTGCAGTATATATTGAAGATACTGTATTTTTGTCTGACATTTCTTCAATGGAGTTTACAAGCGTCCTGAATTCTGCTGTCTTGGCTGACGTGACAGTGATTGTCATTCTGTGAACCTTTTGAACAATGGCTGACTCAAAGTCTAGAAGGAGCAAAAGGGAGCTTCAATCCTCTCTCATATCTAACAGTGAGATTGTTGCATTCAAAGTATGACCCTGTTGTAGCCAGTCATCATTACCATTTGAATTACATTAATTGTTTCTGGGATGGAATATTAATCAAAATTTGGTTCCACCTCTTGTCGAAGCAATTGAGTCTGTATTGGGGTTGACTTGATGATACCTCTCTCTGTCTCTCTGTTTGCAGCAAAAGCTGAAAGAGGAGCGTGAGGCTAAGAGAGCTCAGCTGGATGGCAGACATGACTACGTCCTCAGCATCGTGGCTTCCTGCCTGGGCCTGGAGAAGGCTGACGTGGAGGACGCCATTCTGGAGGGAACTCAGGTAGGGCATAACACTTCACCACTGCTCCACCTCCATCAATCCCCTGTAGTGTGGTCCCTTGTGACAGACTGTTGAGTAGCTGGCCACTGCTTGCGGATGCAACATTTGGTTCTTCGTTTCAAGATTACCTGTATGGTAATAACTTGTGCAAAAGCGATTGAATCAAGTAAAGGTAAATGAATTGTGGAAACGGTGATTGTGATGAACGTGTCTCCCATAGATTGAGCGCATGGAGCAGTTCTTTGTGGCTGAGGGACTTCCTCATATCATGTTCTACTATCAGGATGTGGAGCCAGCTGAAGCAGGTGAGATGATTGGCCATGCAGGGAAGTAATAGGGGAATATAATAATAGAGTAATAACACAGTTAATAGTAGAGTTAGAGCTTAAAGACAAAGAGGTTGAATCTCGCTAACAGAGAGGATAACTCCAGATAGAGTAATGTCTCTTACACTTCTTCCTGTCATAAAGATGATATAGTGGGTAACTGCTTCGTTTGTCTCCCTAGCAGCAGCATCAGCAGCAGCAGCTGCCTTGGCCCCCAACTGGAGGAAGAAGGCCAAGGTGTTTGTCACCGAGGGCAAAGATGTGGCTCTGACTGGTGTCTGTGTGTTCTTCACAAGAGCCAACCCCTCCAAGGCCATCACCTCTGAGAATGTGCACAGGGTAAGTCTCCACCTTACTATCCAACACAAGGCTCTCCAACCCTGTTCCTGGAGAGCTACCGTCCTGTAGGTTTTCACTCCAACCCTAATCTAGCACACCTGATTCTAATAATTAGCTGGTTGATAAGCTGAATCAGGTTAGTTACAACTGGGGTTTGATTGAAAACCTACAGGAGGGTAACTCTCCAGGAACTGGGTTGGAGAGCCCTGATCCAACACATAGTCGGCATTATACGTTTTGTCAATATTTATATGTCTAAAGGCTTAAACAATTTTCGTATAACAATGCTCTTATCATTCATAACGCTATTTATCCTTGCATTCAGGCAAACTGCTTAAAGCACACAACATGAATAACAGTATGACGCGTCAGCCCAATCTTTGCTTCTAAAATGGTGTCAATGTGTCCTGAGTGGCGCAGTGGTCTAAGGCACTGCATCGCAGTGCTAACTGTGCCACTAGAGATCCTGGTTCGAATCCAGGCTCTGTCGCAGCCGGCCGCGACCGGGAGACTCACGGGCGGCGCACAATTCGTCCAGGGTAGGGGAAGGAATGGCCGGCAGGGATGTAGCTCAGTTGATAGAGCATGGCGTTTGCAACGCCAGGGTTGTGGGTTCGATTCCCACGGGGGGCCAGTATAAGAGCGTCTGCTAAATGACAAAAAATGTAAAAATCAAAAAATCCCCTGGCCTACTGTGTGGTCATGTCTATCTAAAAATATCTGGCCCTGGTAGGAGGTGAATTTCAACATGCTGGACACCACAGAGGTAGGCATGCTTAAAAGTGTGGAGCAGCTGCTGTCAGAGATCTTCATACCCACCCTGAAGAAGATGAACCACGGCTGGGGAGAGCTGGCCAGTCCACAGGCCCAGTCAGTTAAACAGGACTTCATCAGCTCACTGGACAGTTTTGTGTCTGTGCTGGCCGGGGCGCAGGAGAGCCTGCAGGAGAAGGGAGGTGAAATGTGCACGCTCAGCCAATCTGGTTTCAAATACTATTTCAATTATCTCAATTATTTTCACATGCATTTCAAAGTAATTATTCAGATATGTTTTATTTGAAAAGACCAGTAGTTGAATATTGGAATGTATTTGAAAATACTCAAATACACTGACTCAAATACACACCCATGTATTTAACCCAGGTATTTGAAAATGTCACGATCGTCGGGGAGAGAGGAGGACCAAGGCGCAGCGTTGAATGCGAACATATTTATTTATATAATGATCACACGAACAAAACAACAAAACGAAAACGTGACGTCCCTGGTTACATACACAAACCAACACGGAACAAGAAACCACAATGAATGAATGCCTAACGGCTACCTAAGTATGACTCCCAATCAGAGACAACGAGCTACAGCCGTCTCTGATTGGGAGCCACCCTGGCCAACATAGATATGCAACAACTAGAACCAACACACATGAAAACTCACACCCTGGCTCAACATACTAGAGTCCCCAGAGCCAGGGCGTGACAGTACCCCCCCCTAAAGGCGCGGACTCCGACCGCGCCAACCAAATACCACAGGGGAGGGACCGGGTGGGCACTCTGCCTTGGCGGCGGATCCGGCTCCGGGCATGATCCCCACTCGCTCTCTAACCCCCCAAAGTACCCCTGGTCCGGTCTGGCCCTGCTGACCGGAGCTGGACTGCACACTGGTGGAGCGGATTGCTCTAGCTCCGGCGTGAAGCAGCTGACCCGTGCTGAACCAGGCACCAGTGGAACAGGCACGGGCTGTGCCGGACTGTCGACGCACACCACTGGCTTGGTGTGGGGAGCAGGAACGGCCCGAGCCGGGCTGACGAAACGCACCCCTGACTTGGTGCGGGGAGCAGGAACGGGCTGAACCGGGCTGACGAAACGCACCACTGACTTGGTGCGGGGAGCAGGAACGGGCCGAGCCGGGCTGACGAAGCGCACCACTGACTTGGTGCGGGGAGCAGGAACGGGCCGAGCCGGGCTGACGAAGCGCACCACTGATTTGGTGCGGGGAGCAGGAACGGGCCGAGCCGGGCTGACGAAGCGCACCACTGACTTGGTGCGGGGAGCAGGAACGGGCCGAGCCGGGCTGACGAAGCGCACCACTGACTTGGTGCGGGGAGCAGGAACGGGCCGAGCCGGGCTGACGACGCGCACCATTGGCCTGGTGCGGGGAGCAGGAACAGGCCGGACCGTACTGGGGACACACACCACTGGTCCTACGCAGGGATCTGGAATGGGCCGGACCGGACTGGTAACACACCCCAGTACCTCTCGCCGTGCCTCTACACCTTCCATCCCCTCTTCGACCAGTGGCCCCCGTAACCTGGCGGCCTCCTCTGCCAACCCGCTGGGCCGCTCTGCCGCGGTCTCCTGCTGGCCCGTCGTCCACGGCGTTAGCCCCCCCCTAAAAAATTTCTGGGCGTCTCTCCTACCCGTGGACCAGGTCTCCATGTCCCTCGCCAGCCTTTCGCCCTTCTGCTTCCATGTCAAGCCCTTCTCTTCCTCACCCGGCTTGACCCAGTCGAGGAGGCGAAGGAGATCTGCTAGAGATCTCCCTGGCGATGGCTCCTGGACACGCTGCTTGGTCCAGTCTTGGTGGTTTCTTCTGTCACGATCGTCGGGGAGAGAGGAGGACCAAGGCGCAGCGTTGAATGCGAACATATTTATTTATATAATGATCACACGAACAAAACAACAAAACGAAAACGTGACGTCCCTGGTTACATACACAAACCAATACGGAACAAGAAACCACACTGAATGAATGCCTAACGGCTACCTAAGTATGACTCCCAATCAGAGACAACGAGCTATAGCCGTCTCTGATTGGGAGCCACCCTGGCCAACATAGATATGCAACAACTAGAACCAACACACATGAAAACTCACACCCTGGCTCAACATACTAGAGTCCCCAGAGCCAGGGCGTGACAGAAAATAGTATTTCAAATAAGTATTTAAAAATACTTTGAAATAGTAGGCTTTTTATAGAAAACTATTTGAAAGTACTTTAAAATAATTCCAATAGATGTAGTTTATTCAGGCCACATTATTTGAAAATACTTAAATACACAGAAAATAAGTATTTAAATAATAATCAAATCCACACACACGCGCACACACGCACACACACACACACACACACATGCTTATCAAAACAAACAAATGTCAATTTGCAATTACGAATATACAATTGACATCATTAATCGTTTCATTTAGGTCAACCTAAAAGAGTGTGACGTATTTGACCTGAAGACACTGAAAGGCCCGTCTGACTACATTGCTGTAGCTAACAGCACAGAGGCAACAGAGAAGATAGAGGCCTGTATGAAAGTGTGGCTCAAACAGATTGAACAGGTAAGATAGATTGAACCTCAATAGCATCATGGATACCTTTCCCCTCCATGGACCTGTGTTATTGTGGGTGGGGGTGTGTTCAATAAAGTCAATACAATAAAACTGTATTTATCCCCTCAGGGGCAATTAAGAAAGGCAACTCAGGATTTACATCAAGATCCACCACATCTAATACAGTTTACAGATATTGCATTCCCCAATCAGCAGTGATTGTGTTGTATCCAGGTGCTGGCTGAGAGTGACCAGCTGAGGAAGGAGGCAGATGACCTGGGGCCGCGGGCCGAGCTGGACCACTGGAAGAAACGCATGTCCCGCTTCAACTACCTCCTGGACCAGCTCAAGAGCCCCGACGTCAAGGCTGTCCTGGGCGTGCTCATGATGGCCAAGTCCAAACTCATCAAGGTGAGCAAGCTGTTACACCATGTCCTTCGTAACACAGGAGTAGATGTTAAAGGCCTGCTAATAAAATGTTAAAATCTCAATTTCGATTTTCGACTTGAGACTCGTTCGTGGGAGCCAGTCACATTTAGAAATATAAAACTTCTCTATGCTTACTGTACATGGCTCTCATATCTGAATTCAGCTGGTGTTTTCTGTATGAATGTAGCAGAATAGGTACAGTGTATGTTTGATGACTGTATCTGTCCCCCCAGTCCTGGCGAGAGCTGGACACCAGGATCACTGACTCAGCCAATGAGGCCAAGGACAATGTGAAGTACCTCTACACTCTGGAGAAGTTCTGTGACCCGCTATACAACAGTGACCCTGTGAGAGACTAATATTGTATACAGTTTTCAGTATGACAACTCATCTTCCTCTAAGACTTACTAACTACAGACTGACATAGTTTGCCAGTTTCCCGGACACAGATTATTCCTAATGCTGGACTAAGTAGCACTTTCAATTAAAAACCTTTTAGTCCAGGACTAGACTTAATCTGCGAAACTGGTCCACTATGTATATCGATCTTAATGGATTTGAAAACTCATCATTGTATGATTGTATTGTATGCTAAATGAACGCAGGTGTCGATGGTAGAGGCCATTCCAGGCCTGATCAACGCCATCCGGATGATCCACAGTATCTCCCGCTACTACAACACCTCAGAGAAGATCACCTCCCTGTTTGTCAAGGTCATTATTGCCAAGATACTGTATGTAACAACCAAGAAGAATAGGTGACTGTAAATCTCGCTCCAAATTAAAAGCTGCCGAATGTATTACATTTAATCATTAGAAGTGTATTAAAATCAATCTTGTCAATTCTTCTTTGATGTTCTTGGTGCATTTGGCCGCACCACCTGGTCTCATGTTATCTGAAGTGCTGTCTACAGTACTTCCCTCCAAACCCCTTTAACCAGTCATCCCATCGAGGTTACTTATTAGAGAGGCACCTGAAATGTATCCTTTTTTCTTCTGTATCTCCATGTCTTAGGTTACCAACCAGATGATTACAGCATGTAAGGCTTACATCACCAACAACGGTTCTGCATCCATATGGGACCAGCCTCAGGGTGTTGTAGCTGAGAAACTCAAAGCTGCTATCCACCTAAACCAGGTACTGCTTTCATATGCCAAGTTATTGTTCAACACACTTTAACCATATCATTTAAAATAGTGTGCTAAATCAAGGCACAAATAAATGTGCTTTTTGAAAGTACAGTTCCTTAAAAGCTTTAATCTATAAAATATTATAAACTGGGTGGTTTGAGCCCTGAATGCTGATTGGCTGAAAGCCGTGGTATATCACACCGTATACCACGAGTATGACAAAACATTTATTTTTACGGCTCTAATTACGTCGGTAACCAGTTTATAATAGCAATAAGGCACCTCAGGGGTTTGGTATATTGCCAACATACCACGGCTAAGGGCTATATCCAGGCACTCCACGTTGCGTCGTGCATAAGAACAGCCCTTAGCCGTAGTATATTGGCCATATACCACACCCCCTCGGGCCTTATTGCTTAAATATATTATCAATACACTAGAGATAATATATACCACAACATCCTTTACGTACACTACATGACCAAAAGTGTGTGGACACCTGCTCTTCAAAATTCTCATTCCAAAATCATGGGCATTAATATGGAGTTGGTCCCCCCTTTGCTGCTATAACAGCCTCCACTCTTCTGGGAAGGCTTTCCACTAGATGTTGGAACATTGATGCAGGGACTTGCTTCCATTCAGCCACAAGAGCGTTAGTGAGGTCGGGCACTGATGTAAGGCGATTAGGCCTGGCTCGCAGTCTGTGTTCCAATTCATCCCAAAGGTGTTCGATGGGGTTGAGGTCAGGGCTCTGTGCAAGCCAGTCAAGTTCTTCCACACCGATCTCGACAAACCATTTCTGTATGGACCTCGCTTTGTGCATGGGGGCATTGTCATGCTGAAACAGGAAAGGGCCTTCCCCAAACTGTTGCCACAAAGTTGGAAGCACAGAATAGTCTAGAATGTCATTGTATGCTGTAGCGTTAAGATTTCCCTTCACTGGAACTAAGGGGCCTAGCCCGAACTATGAAAAAACCCCAGACCATTATTTCTCCTCCACCAAACTTTACAGTTGGCACTATGCATTGGGGCAGGTAGCGTTCTCCTGGCACCTGCCAAACCCAGATTTGTCCGTCGGACTGCCAGATGGTGAAGCGTGATTCATCACTCCAGAGAACGCATTTCCACTGCTCTAGAGTCCAATGGCGGCGAGCTTTACACCACTCCAGCAGACGCTTGGCATTGCGCATGCATTGCGCATGCATTGCGCATGTTGATCTTAGGCTTGTGTGTGGCTGCTCGGCCATGGAAACCCATTTCATGAAGCACCCAACGATCAGTTATTGTGCTGACGTTGCTTCCAGAGGCAATTTGGAACTCGGTAGTGATTGTTGCAACCGAGGACAGACGATTTTGATGCACTACGCGCTTCAGCACTCGGCGGTCCCGTTCTGTGAGCTTGTGTGGCTTACCACTTCACGGCTGAGCCGTTGTTGCTCCTAGTGGTTTCCACTTCACAATAGCAGCACTTACAGTTGACCGGTGGCAATTCTAGCAGTGCAGAAATGTTGCGAACTGACTTGTTGGAAAGGTGGCATACTATGATGGTGCCACGTTGAAAGTCACTGAGCTCTTCAGTAAGGCCATTCTACTGCCAGTGTTTGTCTATGGAGATTACATGGCTGTGTGCTCGATGTTATACACCTGTCAGCAACGGGTGTGGCTGAAATAGCCGAATCCACTAATTTGAAGGGGTGACCACATACTTTTGTATATATAGTGTACTTCTCACAATATTTTACATTATAACTTCCTTTCCATGCTCCTCCAATGACTTTTCATCTGGATCCCATCTATCTGATTATAGGAGTACCAGAAGTGCTTCCACAAGACCAAGGAGAAGCTGGAGCAGAGTCCCTCAGAGAGACAGTTTGATTTCAGTGAGATGTACATCTTTGGGAAGTTTGAGACGTTCCAACGACGCCTCTACAAGATCCTCAACATGTTCAGCACCATCACTACCTACTCAGCCCTACAGGACTCCAAGATAGAAGGCCTGGAAACTATGGCAACCACGTTTCAGGTACACGGTCGAGAGATTAGAGTACTGTTTAGATGTTACCGTTTTAGACATGACCTTTTTAGACATGACCTTTTTAGACATTAACCTTTTTAGACATTAACCTTTTTAGACATTAGCCTTTTTAGACGTTACTTTTTTAGGCATTACCTTTTTAGGCGTTACCTTTTTAGATGTTACCCTTTTAGATGTTAACCTTTAGTATTTATCCCTGCAAGTGTAGTAATGTTAGATCTGCTCTTTCTATTGCTACCGCTGGACAGACTGCAGAAATGCAGGGGAAATGGGAGGTAACTTTTGCCACATAATTTTTTTGGTCCTTGTTTTTGTCCATCAGTGCCTCATCATCATCATCATCAACTCTACCAAGCATATAATCATACTAAAATCCTAACTGTAATGATCGGGAGCCATTTCAGAAAGCAAACAGACATATTTGTTACTTTATATTGAATTTCACTGGTGTTTATCTTAACATTTACCTACACATTTGTTTTGTCCTCAGTTTATTTGATTGCGTTGAACTTAGCATTAGTTTTCGTTTTCGTGTGTCAGATAATTGAGCAGAAGCTGATCCATTACTAAGTCCTGATGGCCTTTTGTGAAAGTTGACAGTTTGTTCACCAGAGTCAGGATATACATATTTTATGGTAAGCTGCTCATCGGAGCAATTACTGCTATTTTATACGCTGCTGTTCATCCCTGCTATTGTAGATGGAGGATCTTTAAATAGGGATGGTGTCCAGCCAGAACCTGCATGTCATCATCATTCTACATTCTCTATTATGTAGCCTCCTACTCTGGTTAAAATGAAATTAAACCCAACAGTTTCACAACATTCAACTGAAACATTGTTGACAGTCTGTTGACTTTGGTTGGAATGAATACAGACACAAGAAATTATCAAAAGCCTCAAGAGTTTTGGAAAGACTAGAAAAATAACTTGTCGTCTTTTATTTTCAGAGCATTGTAATGACTATGAAGAAAAAGCACTACAGTTTCCTTGATCAGAGAAGAACAGACTTTGATCAGGACTATGATGAGTTTTGTAAAAATACCACTGACTTGCATGTAAGTTTACACTTTATAACGACCTTACCGGTAAATCATAACACAGCACATCTGAATAATCTCATAATTTACTTGCACAATTGTTTGTTGTGTTCATTTGCTTTCAGAATCAGCTGAAGACCTTCATGGATAACACATTCGATAAGATTCAAAACACAGAGAGGGCTTTGAATGTACTGAAGAAATTTGAAAGGTACCGTTATTTCAGTCCACCTCTATTTCAAACCAAACTTTAATTCATTTCATTAATTCTCAATTTGATATCAAAATATCCCCTTACATCACTAAGACTGGGCATACCAGACCTGGGCATCGATGAGAAGTATCAGCGGATCCTACAGAACTATGGAAGGGACATAGAAATGGTGTCCCGTAACTACACCAAGCAGAAGATGGAGCCTCCCATTGGCCGGGACCTGCCCCCGGTAGCCGGTAAGATCCTGTGGGCCCGCCAGCTGTACCGGAGGATCCAGGAACCCATGGATCTGTTTCAGGAAGACCCTGGGGTGCTGGCTACGCCCGAGGCCAAACGCATCATCAAGAACTACAACAGGGTGGCCAGGGTGCTGCTGGAGTTTGAGATGCTTTACCACCATGGATGGATGAAGCAGGTGAGAGAGTCCCTCCTGCTTATCTTATTCATTGTGATGTTAAAGGCAAAACTGATTATTAATCAGCATTCATGCTCTGAGACGCTTGATATGGTCTCTGGTGTACTGGCTGGACCTATACTCCAGTAGCATAGCAGCGTTAACTGTTACTGTTATTAATGCTTATCTGTACCTTATCTAGAGCCTGGTCCCAGATCTGTTTGTGCTGTCGTAGTTGGCAAGACTGATATGACTTTTGATTTACTTCTTGATTTCCGACAGACGTACTGTAGATGACTCACATCACTCATACTCTCTCTCTCTCGCTCTCTCCGTCTCTCGCTCTTGCTCTCTCTCTCTCGCTTGCTCTCTCCCTCTCTCTCGGCTCTCTCTCTCTCTATCACTCTCTCTCTCACTCTCTTGCTGTCTCTCCATTTCTCTCTCTCTCTGTCTCTCTCTACATCTCTCTCTCTCTCTCTCTCTCTCACTCACTCTTTCTCACTCCCCAGATCGAGGAGGTCAGACTGGGCCTCCGGGCCTCTTTACTGGTCAAATGTCCCGATACGGGGGACCTGTTTGTCAACTTTGACCCCCAGATCCTGACACAGATCAGGGAGACAGACTGCATGTCCAGGATGAGGCTGGAGATTCCTCCCTTCGCAGTCATCTTACAACAGAAACAAGATGCCCTCAAGAGGAACTACAACAAGCTGCAGGTACACTAGGTATTCCATGATGCCTATTGATCAACTGAAGCATATTGAGCATCATACTGTATCCTTTATCTTTAAAAAGCTTTATATACACTCAACAACAGTAATAAAAGGGCTGTTATTTCAATTCACTTTGAACTGAGTAGAAAGTCCTATGGGCTGGGACTTAGTCAAGAACATTTTACAGTTTTTCTCAATTGCTAAAACACTAAACCCTATTGTCTGAACCAAATGCTCAGTTGCCTGAACCCACTGATTGAATCAATCACTCTTTTGGCAAAACCATAAGCACTTTTCACCTGTTTAGACATAACTTGCCAACACATTTTCATTGTGATGCACCCGTGCTGCATAATGGTGAGCACAGGTGACAAAAGTCAAACACAATTAGAGCACAGGTGTCACCACTTGAACACAACAACTCAAAATTGATCACACTTGTGGCTAATGATGTGAGGGAACATATACAGTAAGCCAGTTCAGAGAGCACTGGTTTGTGAGGCCCTACAATGGATAGAAATCTGAGAGGAAGAGTTCGTGTGAGAGGAGGTCGAGGTGGTCGAGGTGGTCAGCGAAGACAAAGAACAGTAATATCTGATGAAATCAGAGATACTGTGATTGACCATGTTCTTGTCCATGGTATGAGCATGAGGGAGGCTGGACAAAGGGTACAACCAAACATCAGTAGATTCACTGTGTCCACCATAATCCGAAGATTTAGAGAAGAGAACAGGTAATTACCTTTTTTTGACATTATAGTACAGTATGTAAATGTTGACAGCAATTACTGTATGACATACTATATACTGTACCACAGTATACTGTAAGTAAATATATGTTTCAGTACATCACTGTACCAATGTACTGTAGTATTGTAATGGAGGGTTGGTCTAACTGTTTGTAGGCCTAGTATTCCATGTATATTTTTTGTAACTCCATGTTCTCTTTTTGTAGAATTGAAAGACTGCCACATGGGGGTGGGAGGACAGGTATGTTCTCCCCACACCAAGAGACCCTAATTGTTGATATGGTCCGTGAGAACAATGCCATTAAACTGAGCGAAATTCAGCAGAAGATCATTGAGGACCATTTACATTTTGAGGGTATCAACAGTGTCAGCCTCTCTACTGTTGATCGTGTCCTCAAGCGCAACAGACTGCGCATGAAACAGCTATACAGAGTGCCCTTTGATCGCAACTCAGACAGAGTCAAAGAGCAAAGATTCCAGTATGTACAGGTTGGCATATATCCAGACACATTCAATGTTGATTACTCTAAGTAGTGATTTACTGTAGTGGCCTAAATCACTTTTTCCGTATCACTTACAAAACTATATCTATTTCTACAGAGGGTTTTTCAACTGGATGCAATGGAAAGACCCCATCAATACATCTACATGGATGAAGCTGGGTTTAATCTCACCAAAAGGAGAAGGAGAGGCCGTAATGTGATTGGCCATCGGGCCATTGTTGGTGTTCCTGGGCAGCGTGGTGGCAATGTCACATTATGTGCTGCCATCAGCAATCATGGGGTTGTCCACCATCATGCCAACCTGGGGCCCTACAACACTCACCAGCTCCTCATTTTCCTCAATCACATGCGAGATGCTTTGTTAGGGCAGCAGGATGAGCATCCCATCTATGTTGTTGTTTGGGACAATGTGAGTTTTCACAGAGCCCTCCAGGTTAGAGAGTGGTACAATATGAACCAAGGTTTTATCAATCTTTGCCTTCCACCGTACTCCCCTTTCCTAAACCCCATTGAGGAATTATTCTCCTCATGGCGGTGGAAGGTATATGAACGCCAACCTTACACCAGGGTAAATATCCTGCAAGCCATGGGACTTGCCTGTGGTGACATAGGTGTGGAGGCATGCCAAGCCTGGATACGGCATGCCAGGGGTTTTTTCCCCCGTTGCCTGGCCAGACAAAATGTGGCCTGTGATGTGGATGAAGTCCTGTGGCCTGACCCAGTATGGAGACATGATGCTGTGGCTGAGTAATGCACTTATTTGTATATTTTTGTACTTTATTTTTACATGGGCTTACTGTACACAAGTGGCAAACGCATAAGATTTCTGTTTGTTTTTACAAGTGCTACATGTAAATGCACAAGATTTCTGTTTTGTCTTTTTGTACAAGTGCTAAATGCACAGGTTTTTTTTGTTTTGCAACATGCATTTAGCCTACAGTGAACAATAAACATTTATTTCTCCAGCTTCATGTCCTGAGCATTGTGTTTTCTATTTTTCTACGTAGTGTTTAGTGACTGTTCAGTAGTGTTTTTTATTTTGATTGACTCGGGGCACGATTTGACAACATAGTTCAGTTTTGACCACAGATTGAACTGTTTTGAGGTGAAAGTTTGGTTTTGCAAGAAGAGTCTGAGGTTTTGTGAATGTAGCTTGAAAATTGGGTTTTGTGTTCACAGTTAAGAGAAAAGGAGAGCAGCTTTCAAGAAATGTGTCTTAGCAATCGAGAAAAACTGTAATGCGATGATTAGAAAACATTATAAGGGTGAAAGCATTATAACGACAGGCATTAAGTAAAGGGTTATTAGTAATTTCTCTATTTCTGACACCCATCCACAGCTGGTTCTGACAGAGAACGCCAGGGTCCGGGCTAAGATCCAGAGTGCCTTTGAGCAACTGGTAATGCCTCATGTTGCTAAGGTGGATGAAGCCATTCTACCAGGCCTGACCTCCCTCAACTGGACCTCACTGAACATCGATAAATACCTCAGCCGCATCAACAGTGCTCTCAGTATGTAACCGAATCCAATCAAACCTTGTCAGCACTGCACTGTGCTCTGTCATAGCACCATACTATAAAACGGCAGAACAATCTCACCACAATAACCAGCACAGTTAGCACACCTAACCTCTGCCTGCATTTGATCGCAGCTAATTGTGCCTGATCAACTCATGTAATATATCCCATTGGAAGAGGTTCTATCTGCTGTCCCAGTGGGCAAAGCTGGTTGTAATGATATCGTTTCAACCTGTTTTTCCCACTGCTGTTTCCTTGTGATCCCTGGTGACCCCGTGGTGCTGTGTATGACCTCTGACCTGTAACCTGTGTGTCCAGCGGACCTGGAGCTACTGATGGACAGAGTGAATGACCTGGTGGAGTTCAGGATAGACGCTGTGCTGCAGGAGATGAGTGGAGCCACACTGTGGGTTCTGCCCCTGGACGAACCATTGAGCTGTGACGAGTTCGTTCAGACCACCAGGGTAAACAAAGATTCCCTCTGTATTACTCATGTGTTATACACACAAATGCTTGTTAGGCTTAATAATTGCATAATCAACAGTCTGTATTGGTAACACAGTAACTCATCGTCAGTGCTAACAACATTGACCAGACAAAACAGTATATTTAGTTCAGTACTAGTTCATTGTAAACACAGTCTTCATGCATGTAGGACCAGGGGTAGGTAACCCTGGTCCTGGAGTGCCGCAGGCACTTCATGTTTTTGATTTAACCGACCTGGAAGACCAGGTGTGATCACTGAACTGATCAACTAGCTCAGTTGGTCAGGTGTGGTGCCTAGTTAGAGTACCTGCAGAACTCCAGGAACAGAGTTTGCCTACCTCTGATATAGGCTCATGTACTTTCTTCTTGTATGTCATGGTAGGAGCTGTGTATAAAGGGAGCTCAAAGTCTCCACACCAAGAGTTCCCTGGTGGAGGAGGCAACCAACGAGCTCATCAACATGCTGCTGGAGTTTGAACTGCACAAGGAGGGGGAGGAGAAACTACTAGAAGAGAGCAGGACTGATATGGACCAAGTGGAGAGTGAAGGTACTGTAACCTACAGTTTTAACTGTGATAATTATGATGCAGCAAAACTCAAACGGAGAGTGATAACCGGGTCAGCAAAATGCAAGTGAAATTGTACAAAAGCAAAAAGGTTGTTCAGGTGCATAAAGAAATGAGAAATGAGAAAGTGTGCATGCCTGTGTCCATGCCTGTGTGCGTGGTGCGTGTACATGCAGGTGTACTCACGTGTGTTCATGCCTCTTCCCAGGTGAGGAGGGTAAGTCAGAGGGTCGCCTCAACCTGCTGTCTCGTAACACCACGGCGGCCAGTACCACGGGCCCCCCGTCTCCCCTGGGGAAGAGGAAGAAGAAGAGAGACCTGCTGGAGGTGATGGAGGAGGAGGCTCAAGAGCTTCTGTCCCACTTCAACCACCGTAATGTGGACGCCCTGCTGAGGCTCACACGCAACACCCTGGAGACCCTCCGCAAACGCATCCACGCCTCCTCACTCATGCACTTCCTGGGTAAGTTCCATCAATCCAATATATTTATAAACCCCTTTTACATCAGCAGTTGTCACAAAGTGCCACCCTTTGAGCTCCACCCTTTAGATGTTGGAGTAAGGTGTGGCCGTCATGAAGGGTAGGGTTTCCCATTACATTTCTCCCTACTTCAATACCAGCCCATCTCCCCACAGCAGAGAGTGATTCTCCCAGCCGTCTGAAGGGCAGTGGTCAGCAGCCTATCTTCAGGACCAATGTGACCCTGTCCATCCCCAACATCGCCATGGTCCCAGCCCTGGACGAGGTCCAGCAGGCTCTGAACCGGGCTGTGGAGTGTGTGGTCAGTGTCAGCAAAGGAGTCGGCCAGTGGAGCAAGGAGAGGATCTCCAAGGTGGGCTTGCCGTGGCTTACAGCTCCAATGCAGCAGTTTTTATCTCAATATCAAATACTTTCTGGGTAACCATTAAGTACCTTACTGTGATTGTTTTCAATTAAAATGGTCAAAAAGAAACAAAAATAGCTTCTTAGCAAAGAGCAATTTCTCAAGCAATAATTTGCTAGGAATGTCTGGGAGTATTCTGAGTGGGGAGGGGAAAACTGAAAACTAGCTGTTATTGCCAGGCTAAAACATCCCACCAAAACAGGCTGAAATGGCAGGCAGTCTTTTCAAACAGCTCGTACACTAAAAGGGCATTATCATCATTTTCATATTATTCCAACCCCATAGTGTGGAAATATATACAGTGCTATGAAAAGTATTTGCCCCCTTTCTAATTTTCTCTACTTTTGCATATTTGTGATACTGAATGTTATCAGATCTTCAACCAAAACCTAATATTAGATAAAGGGAACATAAGTGGACAAATAACACAACAATTACATATTTATTTCATAAACAAAGTTATGCAACACCCAATTCCCCTGTGTGAAAAAGTAATTGCCCCCTTATACTCAATAACTGGTTGTGCAACCTTTAGCTGCAATGACTCCAACCAAATGCTTCCTGTAGTTCTGTTGATCAGTCTCTCACGTCGCTGTGGAGGAATTTTGGCCCATTCTTCCATGCAGAACTGCTTTAACTCAGTGACGTGTGGGTTTTCAAGCATGAACTGCTCGTTTCAAGTCCTGCCACAACATCTCAATTGGGATTAGGTCTGGACTTTGACTAGGCCATTCCAAAATGTCAAATTTGTTTCTTTTTAGCAATTTTCATATAGACTTGATTGTGTGTTTTGGATCATTGTCTTGCTGCATGACCCAGCTGCGCTTCAGCTTCAGCTCATAGACAGATGGTCTGACATTCTCCTGTAGAATTCTCTGATACAGAGCAGAATTCATGGTTCCTTCTATTAAGGCAAGTCGTCCAGGTCTTGAGGCAGCAAAGCATCCCCAAACCATCACACCACCACCACCATGCTTGACCTTTGGTATGATGTTCTTACTGTGGAATGCAGAGTTTGATTTTCGCCAGGCATTACTGGAACCATGTCGTCCAAAAAGTTATACTTTTGAATCATCTGTCCATAGAACGTTCTTCCTGTCACGTTCGTTGAATGACGGGTCAGACCAAGGCGCAGCGTGATATATGTACATGTTTATTATAACTATTAAACACACTACAAAACGACAAAGGAAACGAAACGTGAAGTCCAAGGTAGAACACACAATATACCTTACACGGAACAAGATCCCACAACCCACTAGTGCCAATAGGCTGCCTAAGTATGATCCCCAATCAGAGACAACGAGCTACAGCTGTCTCTGATTGGGAACCACACTGGCCAACATAGATCTACACATAATAGATCGAAACATAGAAAACACACAACACAGAATATACACACCCTGACTCAACATTTAAGCATCCCCTGAGTCAGGGCGTGACACTTCCAAGAGTCTTGATGATCATCCAGGTGCTTTTTGGCAAACTTGAGTCAACTTTTTGGACGAGATGGGTCACATTATGCCTGGCGAAAACCAAACACTGCATTCCACAGTAAGAACATCATACCAAAGGTCAAGCATGGTGGTGGTGGTGTGATGGTTTGGGGATGCTTTGCTGCCTCAGGACCTGTACAACTTGCCTTAATAGAAGGAACCATGAATTCTGCTCTGTATCAGAGAATTCTACAGGAGAATGTCAGACCATCCGTCTGTGAGCTGAAGCTGAAGCGCAGCTGGGTCATGCAGCAAGACAATGATCCAAAACACACAATCAAGTCTACATGAAAATTGCTAAAAAGCAACAAATTTGACATTTTGGAATGGCCTAGTCAAAGTCCAGACCTAATCCCAATTGAGATGTTGTGGCAGGACTTGAAACGAGCAGTTCATGCTTGAAAACCCACACATCACTGAGTTAAAGCAGTTCTGCATGGAAGAGTGGGCCAAAATTCCTCCACAGTGACGTAAAAGACTGATCAACAACTACAGGAAGCATTTGGTTGGAGTCATTGCAGCTAAAGGTGGCACAACCAGTTATTGAGTGTAAGGGGGCAATTACTTTTTCACACAGGGGAATTGGGTGTTGCATAACTTTGTTTATGAAATAAGTATGTCATTGTTGTGTTATTTGTTCACTTATGTTCCCTTTATCTAATATTAGGTTTTGGTTGAAGATCTGATAACATTTAGTATGACAAATATGCAAAAGTAGAGAAAATTAGAAAGGGGGCAAATACTTTTTCATAGCACTGTATAAAACACATTAAAATCACATTTTTGACTGCACTGGGCCGTTAAGATGTCTGTGACATCTGCACAATCATGAGATTAAGGTTTTAGTAAGTCTTCAAACAAAGACCAAACATTAATTATTCTGTTTATGCCAACACAGAGGAAGATGAGTGAGAGACGCATGGCTGTTCTGAGACAGGACAAGAGTGACAGTGATTCAGAGGACGGAGAGACCACCTACAGGAGCCTGGCTGATGGCAGTACCTCAGACATCTCCGCCTCTGTGACCCAGGCCATACCCTTCCAGGCCAGGAACTACTACAAGAGTGTGTCTGAGAACAAGGAGATCATCAAGCTGGTTTCTGTGCTCAGCACCTCCATCAACTCTACCAAGAAGGTACATACAGGTGTACACACAAAACAAATACAAATTATATTTCTCCTGTTTTCCTAACTTTCTGACCTTAGTGTACCAAATTCTAACTATTTTGTGTTTGATACTGATACCTATCCCCTAAGATGTTGCTGTGGAAATGAGACCTAAATCAAATCAATGAAAACTTGATTGAAAGTGCATTTAAGACCTGGCTGTTGTGTTGTTGTTGACCAGGAGGTGATGAATGCTCTGGACCGCTTCAGTCGTTACCACCACATCTGGAGGAAGGAGAGAGAGGACACCATCCAGAAGTTCAGCCAGGGCAGCCCTCTGCTGTCTGAGTTTGAGTCTCAGATCCTCTACTACAAAGACCTGGAGCTGGAGATCAACGCTGAGCCTGAGTACATCACTGTAGGAGCTCTGGCCCTCTATACAGGTAGAATACATCGCTGTAGGATCTCTGACCCTCTATACAGGTAGAGTACATCACTGTAGGATCTGTGGCCCTCTATACAGGTAGAATACATCGCTGTAGGATCTCTGGTCCCTTTATACAGGTAGAATACATCACTGTACGATCTCTGGCCCTCTATACAGGTAGAATACATCACTGTAGGATCTCTGGCCCTTTATACAGGTAGAATACATCACTGTAGGATCTCTGGCCCTCTATACAGGTAGAATACATCACTGTAGGATCTCTGGCCCTTTATACAGGTAGAATACATCACTGTAGGAGCTCTGGCCCTTTATACAGGTAGAATGCATCGCTGTAGGATCTCTGGCCCTCTATACAGGTAGAATACATCACTGTAGGATCTCTGGCCCTCTATACAAGTAGAATACATCACTGTGGGAGCACTGGCCCTCTATACAGGTAGAGTACATCACTGTGGGAGCACTGGCCCTTTATAAAGGTACATAGCCGTGGGAAGTAGGGGTGCTGAGGGTGCTGCAGCACCCCCTGAAAAATCTGAATCTAACTCTCTACAACTTTCTCCCCGTTATTTGAAATTTCAGGCTATTTCAAAGCAATTCACTGCTAATCCACTGCATTAACCTTAAAAGACAACCCTGCCAAATATGACTGCACATGTTCTTAGTAGTATTTCACAATACTGTTATTTCATTTTTCAACATTGCATGAATATCTGACTATTATCAGACTAATATCTGATTTGTTGTCTAACAGCTGACCTGAAGATGGCCCTGACTGCGGAGACAAAGAGCTGGATGGTGGACTACGGCCTGCACTGTAACAGGAAGTACCGGACAGATATGGAGAACATCTTCACATTAGTGGACGAAGCGGCAAAGAAACTGAACCGACCAATCAAAGACATGGACGACATCCGCATCGCCATGGCATCGCTGAAGGAGATCAGAGAGCAACAGATCTCCATTGACTTCCAAGTGGGACCCATAGAGGTAGGGAACACAAATGCACACTTCTTTCAGAGAGATACTGTATGAATAATTCACTGAGACTATCTGCAATGTCCGCTTTCATTGAGTAGGAGGCGAACCTTAATTCCCACCTAAGTAAAATTTCCACTTAGACGTGCATTGATATCAATGGGTGAAAATTCTACTTAGGGGGAAGTTAGGATATGCCCATAGTTTGATTAAGTCCTTGCTGTCTGTATTTGGTTGTGAGAAGCCATTGGAGACCTGTGTTGTACTATGTGTCTGTTCAGTGCTGTACATTCCCCTTCCCCTTTCCTAGGAGTCCTATGCCATGCTCCATAAGTACGGCCTGGTAGTGGCGAAGGAGGAGGCAGAGAAGGTGGACACGCTGCGCTATACCTGGGAGAAGCTGCTAGCCCGCAGCACCGAGGTCCAGAATGAGCTGGTGTCCCTGCAGCCCAACTTCAGAGGAGAGCTCATAGACAACGTACAGACGTTCGTGGAGGACTGTGGACACTTCTATCAGGACTATGACAAGGTTCAGACACGTCTCACAGCTCGTTCTAGCTGTTACTCACAGCTACACCTAACTCCAAGGCTGTCTCGGTTTTAGTCATTTCTATTTCTGTTACAGTTAACTTGGCACGCTCTAAATAAGACTGCTAGCTAATTGCTGACACAGGCTTCGTTTCATTCCCAGGACGGTCCCATGGTTGTCGGACTGGCTCCCCAAGACGCTAGTGACAGACTCATCATGTTCCAGGTGAGTACAGTGTGCATCTTCAAGAGAGGAATCTACAGTTGAAGTCGGAAGTTTACATACACCTTAGCTAAATACATTTAAACTCAGTTTTTCACAATTCCTGAAATTTAATCCAAGTAAAAATTCATTGTCTTAGGTCAGTTAGGATCACCACTTTATTTTAAGAATGTGAAATGTCAGAATAATAGTAGAGAGAATGATTTATTTCAGCTTGTATTTCTTTCATCACATTCCCAGTGGGTCAGAAGTTTACATACACTCAATTAGTATTTGGTAGCATTGCCTTTAAATTGTTTAACTTGGGTCAAACTTTTCGGGTAGCCTTCCACAAGCTTCCCACAATAAGTTGGCTGAATTTTGGCCCATTCCTCCTGACAGAGATGGTGTAACTGAGTCAGGTTTGTAGGCCTCCTTGCTCGCACACGCTTTTTCAGTTCTGCCCACAGATTTTCAATAGGATTGAGGTCAGTGCTTTGTGATGGCCACTCCAATACCTTGACTTTGTTGTCCTTAAGCCATTTTGCCACAACTTTGGAAGTATGCTTGGGGTCATTGTCCATTTGGAAGACCCATTTGCGACCAAGCTTTAACTTCCTGACTAATGTCTTGAGATGTTGCTTCAATATATCCACATAATCTTCCTTCCTCATGATGCCATCTATTTTGTGAAGTGCACCAGTCCCTCCTGCAGCAAAGCACCCCCACAGCATGATGCTGCCACCCCTGTGCTTCACGGTTGGGATGGTGTTCTTCGGCTTGCAAGCATCCCCCTTTTTCCTCCAAACATAACGATGGTCATTATGGCCAAACAGTTCTATTTTTGTTTCATCAGACCAGAGGACATTTCTCCAAAAAGTACGATCTTTATCCCCATGTGCAGTTGCAAACCGTAGTCTGGCTTTTTTATGGCGGTTTTGGAGCAGTGGCTTCTTCCTTGCTGAGCGGCCTTTCAGGTTATGTTGATATAGGACTCGTTTTACTGTGGATATAGATACTTTTGTACCTGTTTCCTCCAGCATCTTCACAAGGTCCTTTGCTGTTGTTCTGGGATTGATTTGCACTTTTTGCACCAAAGTACGTTAATCTCTAGGAGACAGAACGCGTCTCCTTCCTGAGCGGTATGACGGCTGCGTGGTCCCTTGGTGTTTATACTTGCGTACTATTGTTTGGACAGATGAACGTGGTACCTTCAGGCATTTGGAAATTGCTCCCAAGGACGAACCAGACTTGTGGAGGTCTATAATTATTTTTCTGAGGTCTTGGCTGATTTCTTTTGATTTTCCCATGATGTCAAGCAAAGAGGCACTGAGTTTGAAGGTAGGCCTTGAAATACATCCACAGGTACACCTCCAATGGACTCAAATGATGTCAATTAGCCTATCAGAAGCTTCGAAAGCCATGACATCATTTTCTGGAATTTTCCAAGCTGTTTAAAGGCACAGTGAACTTAGTGTTCTGACCCACTGGAATTGTGATACAGTGAATTATAAGTGAAATAATCTGTCTGTAAACAATTGTTGGAAGAATTACTTGTTTCATGCACAAAGTAGATGTCCTAACCGACTTGCCAAAACTATAGTTTTTTAATAAGAAATTTGTTGAGTGGTTGAAAAACGAGTTTTAATGACTCCAACCTAAGTGTATGTAAACTTCTGACTTCAACTGTATATACTACTCTGCAGCACTTAGTTTAAGTTGATACATTCACAGAGGTTTTCATTCAGATGTTCTGTGCCTTATTTTTTGTGAGCATTAATATTATGTATGACTTATTTCTACAGTATTTAACAAAGACAACAACATGCATGATTGTATTATTGTGTGTTGTATGGTTTTGGAAATGATATATGTGACCATTCATACACTTTACTGTACTTCTCATTTCATTTGGTCAGAATCGCTTTGACAACCTGTTCCGTAAGTACATCACCTACACTGGTGGAGAGGAGCTGTTTGGCCTGCCTGTGACCCAACACCCTCAGCTGCTGGAGATCAGGAGACAGCTCACCCTCCTCCAGAAGCTCTACGGACTCTACAACAGCGTCATCGACACCGTCAACGGGTACTATGACATCCTCTGGGCCGACATCCAAATAGAGAGGATCAATAACGAACTTCTAGACTTCCAGACGCGGTAAGGAAATCAAACTACAACCCAGACCATGAGAGACATTTACACAGAAATGGATAAATAATCAAAATTTTTCGCCCTCCATTTCCAGTTGTCGCAAGCTGCCCCGTGCCCTGAAAGAGTGGCAGGCATTCCTTGACCTGAAGAAAAGTATAGACGAGATCAACGAGTGCTGCCCCCTACTGGAACTGATGACCAATAAGGCCATGATGACGCGTCACTGGAAGAGAATCACCGAGGTGACAGGACACAGCTTCGAGGTGGAGACTGACACCTTCAAGCTGCGCAACATCATGGAAGCGCCGCTCCTCAAATGCAAAGAGGAAATTGAGGTGATTATGGATTATTGTTGTTGCTGTTGTTGGTGCTGAAACCCGGGAAGGAACCAGGTAATTGATTTTCTATAGCCTACTCAGCCTAACATACATTCTCTATAGCCATACAACTACTGGTACTCAACTCACGGTACTGTAAATTGAGGCTTGAAAAAAAGGTTGTTTGACCTCAGTGGGACAACTTGTAATAACAAAGGTAAAATAAAGATAAATGTTGTTTGAACTCCCGCCGGGCAGGACATTTGCATCAGTGCGGTGAAGGAGAGGGACATTGAGCAGAAGCTGAAGCAGGTGATTGCTGAGTGGGACAACAAGACGTTCACCTTCACCAACTTCAAGACGCGAGGGGAGCTGCTGCTGAGGGGCGACAGCACCGCCGAGATCATTACTAACATGGAGGACAGCCTCATGGTGCTGGGATCACTCATGAGCAACAGGTTAGACTAGAGACCTACTGGAGGCACAAATGACTTAGCCTGGAAATCAAGACTGATTTCTACTTCAGTTTTGTTAACAATAGTGAAATGTAGCCTGATTCAGTCTTGATTTTGAGGCTACAAATGACCTGGGGGTTAGGAGTGATATCAGATTTCTTCTCAATTGTTTATCATATTTCAGCATCCAGTTGACTTGTCATCTAGAGTTCAACTGTTGTGTTTTTGGGGAATAAGACTGGGGTGCTATGTTTAAATCCCTGTAAGGTTTTAGCTGTATTGTACAGACTTTTAGTGTTGTTTGTGTACTGTAGTAGCCAATGCTTGACTCGGCTGATGACTTGGTGCTCCACAGGTACAACACGCCATTCAAGGCCCAGATCCAGAAATGGGTTCAGAACCTTTCCAACACCACTGACATCATAGAGAACTGGATGACTGTCCAGAACCTGTGGATCTACCTCGAGGCTGTGTTCGTGGGTGGGGACATAGCCAAACAGCTACCCAAGGTAAGAATCAATACATTGACTTTTCATCTGAAAACACATCTTTAACCTTATGCTATCAGTGATAGGGTTCCACAATTTCGTGCTCTTTCACAAAGTGCCCAGGGTTTTCAGAAATCACGTGGTTTTTTTTAAAACTCAGGAACTTTTGAGGAAATTTTCAAAATTGTGCAAACTTAATCAGGACTGACAATCTAGTCTGAATCATCTGAATGACAGGAGGCGAAGCGTTTCTCCAACATCGACAAGTCCTGGGTGAAGATCATGACGCGGGCCCATGAGATGCCCAACGTGGTGCAGTCATGTGTGGGGGACGAGACCATGGGACAACTGCTGCCTCACCTGCTGGAACAACTGGAGATCTGTCAGAAGTCTCTCACTGGGTATGTCTGTCTGGAGGTCTGTCAGAAGTTTCTGGGTAAGTCTGTCTGGAGATCTGTCAGAAGTCTCTCACTGGGTAAGTCTGTCTGGAGGTCTGTCAGAAGTCTCTGGGTAAGTCTGTCTGGAGGTCTGCCAGAAGTCTCTGGGTAAGTCTGTCTGGAGGTCTGTCAGAAGTCTCTGGGTAAGTCTGTCTGAAGGTCTGTCAGAAGTCTCTCACTGGGTAGGCCTATACTTATAAATTGAGTTTTCAATGTTTGATATGTGTATTAGATAGTTGAATTTGAAAGTATTCATGTACCAGTATGACACCTTCCAAGTCTACCTACGTTGTACATCGGTAGCTTGATGATGTGTACTAAACTTGTATTGTTTTCAACCCTTGGTTGTGTGTGTGATTGTGTGACTGGCAGGTACTTGGAAAAGAAGCGTCTGCTGTTCCCTCGGTTCTTCTTTGTGTCTGACCCGGCCCTGCTGGAGATTCTGGGCCAAGCCTCGGACTCCCACACCATCCAGGCCCACTTGCTCAACGTCTTTGACAACATCAAATGTGTCCGCTTCCATGACAAGGTACAGTAACGCACAGACAGACATATTCTTTTTTTCTACAATTATCACGGTCAGGCCTCCTAATGTAGTAGTATCTGCCCTTCTGCAATAGTAACTACCCTAGATTCAGCAACATCAATAGTATCTGCCCTTCTGTTTCCATAGATGTACGACAGGATCCTGGCCATCTCGTCCAGGGAGGGGGAGACGGTAGAGCTGGATCGGCCGGTGACGGCTGAGGGGAATGTGGAGGTCTGGCTCAACGCCCTGCTGAAGGAATCCCAGAGGTCTCTTCACCTGGTCATCAGACTGGCTGTCCTGGCCATCCAGGACTCAGGCTTCCAGCTCATTGAGTTCCTGGACTCTTTCCCTGCTCAGGTGGGGAGACATGGGATACATCCTAAATGGAACCCTATTACATACAGTAGTTCACTACTTTTATTCCAGGCCCTGTTCACTCTATAGGGAATAGGCTGCAATTTGTGACACAGTCCTGGTTCTTGGGGTCATCATTCATTCTCTTTTATAATGGGATAGTAAAGATTACCTTAACCTTGACCTTGGAGCAATGGTCTCGCAGTTAGACTTTCCCACGCCTATGTTTCATTACTCAATACCTAATCAGGGATTCCTGCTTTGCTGCATTATCCTCCATTAATGTATAACTGAAACTGATCTATACCCTAGCCAAATTCCAAACATTCCTGAATTTATACATTGTCCTGATTACATCCCTGATTGATATGAAGACATCTAAGCCAGGAAAGGTAACTTTCATTCTCTCGTTGATGTCCTATCATGATGTCCTCTCTTCCTCACTCCATCAACCAGGTTGGTCTGCTGGGAGTCCAGATGATCTGGACCAGAGACTCAGAGGAGGCCCTGACCAACGCCCGCTACGACCGTAAGATCATGCCCAAGACCAACCAGTTCTTCCTGGAGCTTCTCAACACCCTGATAGACATGACCACTAAAGACCTGGCCTCAGTGGAGCGGGCCAAGTATGAGACACTCATAACCATCCATGTACACCAGAGGGACATCTTTGATGACCTGGTGAGTGGACTGGAATCACAAACTGACTCGGTGGCTAAAATAGTACTTCAACCCCAAAGGTCCCTTTCAGTGTATAAACTGAAGGTACTAATTTAAACTTTTGGCAAACTGTGCCACCAAAGTTTTTCTGATTAGGGTGAGGTAGTCCCCTGTAGCTCAGTTGGTAGAGCATGGCGCTTGTAACGCCAGGGTTGTGGGTTCGTTTCCCACGGGGGGGCAGTATGAAAATGTATGCACTCACTAACTGTAAGTCGCTCTGGATAAGAGCGTCTGCTAAATGACTCAAATGTAAAATGTAGGTAGAGTCTGAGAATATCAATTTGAGTTTCCCCTGTTATTCAAATCACATTTGACAAGTCATTTGGGGTTTTAGGAATTTCATAGGCTTTTGCAATCCTTTGTTTACAGAATGGTTTCTCTTTCCCCCTCCTCTCCCCTCAGTGTCGGCTGCATATCAAAGCCCTACAGACTTTGAGTGGATGAAGCAGTGTCGTTTCTACTTCAATGAGGACTCTGACAAGATGATCATCAACATCACTGACGTCGGCTTCATCTATCAGAATGAGTTCCTGGGCTGCACTGACAGACTGGTTATCACCCCTCTGACTGACAGGTAGGGACTAACTAGTCATCACCTCTCTGACTGACAGGTAGGGACTAACTAGTCATCACCTCTCTGACTGACAGGTAGGGACTAACTAGTCATCACCTCTCTGACTGACAGGTAGGGACTAACTAGTCATCACCTCTCTGACTGACAGGTAGGGACTAACTAGACATCACCTCTCTGACTGACAGGTAGGGACTAACTAATCACCTCTCTGACTGACAGGTAGGGACTAACTAGTCATCACCTCTCTGACTGACAGGTAGGGACTAACTAATCACCTCTCTGACTGACAGGTAGGGACTAACTAATCACCTCTCGACTGACAGGTAGGGACTAACTATCACCTCTCTGACTGACAGGTAGGGACTAACTAATCACCTCTATGACTGACAGGTAGGGACTAACTAGACATCACCTCTCTGACTGACAGGTAGGGACTAACTAATCACCTCTCGACTGACAGGTAGGGACTAACTAGTCATCACCTCTCTGACTGACAGGTAGGGACTAACTAATCACCTCTCTGACTGACAGGTAGGGACTAACTAATCACCTCTCTGACTGACAGGTAGGGACTAACTAATCACCTCTCTGACTGACAGGTAGGGATAACTAATCACCATCTCTGACTGACAGGTAGGGACTAACTAGTCACCTCTATGACTGACAGGTAGGGACTAACTAGTCACCCTCTCTGACTGACAGGTAGGGACTAACTAGTCACCTCTCTGACTGACAGGTAGGGACTAACTAATCACCTCTCTGACTGACAGGTAGGGACTAACTAATCACCTCTCTGACTGACAGGTAGGGACTAACTAATCACCTCTCTGACTGACAGGTAGGGACTAACTAATCACCTCTCTGACTGACAGGTAGGGACTAACTAGTCACCTCTATGACTGACAGGTAGGGACTAACTAGTCACCTCTCTGACTGACAGGTAGGGACTAACTAGTCACCTCTCTGACTGACAGGTAGGGACTAACTAGTCACCTCTCTGACTGACAGGTAGGGACTAACTAATCACCTCTCTGACTGACAGGTAGGGACTAGGAAGTGGCTCCACCACCACTCTAATAGCTTAACCAGTTATCATGCATTTTGGGCTAAAAGGGCAACTTACACTTGTGGCACTAAAAATATAGAGGTTTTTGTGGCAAATTATTGCTAGGAGACACTAGAGTGCAGTGTTGGACACACATTTCAGTAACCAGTATGCCAATACCACGGCCCAGCCTAACGTTGTAGTGCCCACAAGTATATGATGTATCACATTGGGTGATTATTCTAGGTGTACCTAACCCCTTGGTGTGTGTTTGTCCCAGGTGCTACATCACACTGGCCCAGGCTCTGGGGATGAGTATGGGAGGAGCCCCGGCCGGCCCTGCAGGAACAGGGAAGACTGAGACCACTAAAGACATGGGCCGCTGCCTGGGGAAGTACGTGGTGGTCTTCAACTGCTCTGACCAGATGGACTTCAGAGGACTGGGGAGGATCTTTAAAGGTAGGAGCTTCTACTCATATTGCCTGGTCCTAACATTTCTGCTGTCTTGCCAACTCCTGTGTTATTTGCATGGCAATGACCATAGGAGTTGGATATCCAGTACAAACAAAACGTATGTGATTTGGGGGGATTATAGGCTATATATAAGATCTCACTCATATTACTGTGAAGAGAATGATGATATCAACCTGAACCCAATGAACAGTGTAATGTTGTGTGTCTTTGTGTTGATTTGCAGGTCAGGCTCTTGGGGTTGTTTTGAATGAGGAGTTTAATGTTGTGAAGAGTGATGTGTAATATTGTGTGTAATGTTGTGTTGATTGGCAGGCCTAGCCCAGTCGGGCTCGTGGGGCTGTTTTGATGAGTTCAACCGTATCGACCTATCAGTGCTCTCCGTGGCAGCCCAGCAGATCGCCATTGTGCTTACCTGCAAGAAGGAGCGCCGCAAGAACTTCATCTTCACCGACGGAGACAACGTGGAAATGAATCCCGAATTCGGCATCTTCCTGACTATGGTTATTATTATTAGCAGTGTATAAACTACTCACTGTAGAAACCCCTTCACAAACACTTTGTCAAGTAGAGCTTAATTTAAAGTACTTCTGAAAGGAATAGTGAATTCTTGTCTCAAAGAAGATTAACTGAAACTAGTCTGAATCAGACAAGGTTTATTATTTGAGGATGTTAGTCATAGACTTTGTTTTGCATTTTCATAACATTAGTCATCTACACTATGTTCATGCCAGGTCATCATTGTAAATAAGAATGTATTCTTAACAGACTCACCTGGTTAAAATAAATATTTGATTAATAAATGTTTTTGCCCCCATCAGAACCCGGGCTACGCAGGTCGTCAGGAGCTTCCAGAGAACCTGAAGATCAACTTCCGCTCGGTGGCCATGATGGTCCCAGACCGTCAGGAGCTTCCAGAGAACCTGAAGATCAACTTCCGCTCGGTGGCCATGATGGTCCCAGACCGTCAGATAATCATCCGGGTCAAGCTGGCCAGCTGTGGCTTCATAGACAACATAGAGCTGGCCAGGAAGTTCTTCACCCTCTACAAACTGTGCGAGGAGCAGCTCTCCAAGCAGGTCAGCTATGAAATGAAATGGAACTGCTGTAGATATTTCAATGACAGCTGAACATGCAAAGCTATACTTTTTTGTGAAAACTCAAGTCAATTGAAATGTTATTTAAATTGCCATCACAGTCTCAAATCACTTTAGAGGGAATTAATATGCCACCTGTCAGGTGGATGGATTATCTTGGCAAAGGAGAAATGCTTACTAACAGGGATGTAAAGAAATGTGTGCACAAATTGAGAGAAATACGCTTTTTTGCATATGGAAAATGTCTGGGATCTTTTATTTCAGCTCATGAAACATGGAACCAACACTTTTCATGTTGCGTTTATATTTTTGTTCAGTATAAAAACAACAAAACTGTCCATGTATGTGTTGATTATGATCTTTGTGTAGTTCATAGTTCTATTTCCGTACATTCCATGTTGGGTTCACTCTCTGTTTATAAGGTGCATTACGACTTTGGACTCCGAAACATTTTGTCAGTTCTGCGTACACTGGGGGCGGTGAAACGAGCGAACCCCAACGACACAGAATCTACCATCGTCATGAGGGTTCTCAGAGATATGAACCTGTCCAAGCTGGTGAGTAGACATACAGGACATTCTCCTCGAAATCAACTGCAATTCTCCTCGAAATCAACTGCCATTTTAGAAAAGCCATTTTTTAAAAGCAGCATTAAGTGTTACAAATTGTTATTTTTTCAGATATTATTCTGTAATATATGAATAATGATTTCATCTTCAGTGAGGTGCAATACAACACAAGTGGTATCATGGTTAACTTCATTGACACTATATGTGTTGACAGATAGATGAAGATGAGCCGTTGTTCCTCAGCCTGAGAGAGGACCTCTTCCCTGGGATCCAGCTGGATAAAGCAGGCTACCCAGAGCTGGAGACAGCTATCGACAAACAGGTGAGAGGACATTTTATATAACATAAAATAATCCCTTTACATTTAGTTTGAAAATTGTCCATGTCACTCTGAAGTCTATCTGCATGTAGTTTCTCACAACCCTCCTCCTCACACTGCTTCTCCTCACCACCCATCTCTTCTCCTTTCCCCTACAGTACATTTGACATTTTAGTCATTTAGCAGACGCTCTTATCCAGGGCAATTACATGAGCAATTAGGGTTAAGTGCCTTGCTCAAGGGCACATCGACAGATTTTTCACCTAGTCAGCTCAGGGATTCGAACCAGCAACCTTTTGGTTACTGGACCTTTTGGTTACTGGGTCTTAAGCGCTAGGCTACATGCCGCCCCCACAGTATAATACAGAGTTTAAGGGATTAATCTCATCTTGGTATTAGCCTTAATACCATAGGGCTTTTTAAAGTAGCATAAAACCTTTTTTCGATCTAAATGTGAGCGGTAGGGATTTATTTGTATTAACATGAAGAGTCTCACTCTCTCCCACTGTAGGTGGAGGAGTCTGGTTTCATAACATGAAGAGTTTCTCTTATCCCTATGTGCTCCATACTGTAGGTGGTGGAGGCAGGTCTGATCAGCCACCCTCCGTGGAAGCTGAAGGTGATTCAGCTGTTTGAGACCCAGAGGGTCCGCCATGGCATGATGGCCCTGGGGCCCAGCGGAGCAGGAAAAACCACCTGCATTCACACCCTGATGAGAGCCATGACAGGTGAGACAATGTCCCCATCAAAACACTTGACTTATTTCACCTTATTTACTACCTCATGGCAGTCATACTAAAGTAAAATGCACAGACGTTTACATGCACTAAAAAGCTGTGTTAAGTTAATTTGTATGTGTTTGCACCCACAGACTGCGGCCAGCCACACAGAGAGATGCGTATGAACCCCAAAGCGATCACCGCCCCTCAGATGTTTGGCCGTCTAGATGTAGCTACCAATGACTGGACCGACGGCATCTTCTCTACCCTGTGGAGGAAGACCCTGAGAGCCAAGAAAGGTGAGCCGGATACCTCCTCTTATTTCTTATTGTTATAGATCTTGTGTGTTTTTGTTCTACCTTGTTATTTTTAGGATTACATTGTTATTGATTACTGCATTGTTGGGGTTAGAGTTGGCAAAAAAGGCTTTTCACTGTACTTGTGCATGTGACTTTCAAACTTGAAACTTGAAAGAAATACCCTGGACTTATACATGCTTTACACATGCAAGGTTACACATGCATTACACATGCTAGAGCATGAACCCATATACAGTACATACCGTATAGTCTCTATGGAATTCATATAGAATAATGGGGCAGACCATTTTCACCCATCTCTATTTCAATGTGTTTTCAATATTTCATATCTTTCTATTAATTTCCCTGTCGTTTTACAAAAGGTGATGTTCTAATACTTTCCTCTGACCTCCATAGTTGATTTTGATTAGTTTAATAAGCAGACTGGTTCTAATGTTTCTATCCTCTGCAGGGGAGCACATCTGGATAGTACTAGATGGACCAGTAGATGCTATCTGGATAGAGAACCTCAACTCTGTACTGGATGACAACAGGACTCTGACCCTGGCCAATGGAGACAGGATCCCCATGGCCCCCAACTGCAAGATTGTGTTTGAGCCCCACAACATCGACAACGCTTCGCCTGCCACCGTGTCCCGTAACGGAATGGTGTTCATGAGCTCTTCTGTGCTCAACTGGAGCCCCATTCTGGAGGTGGGCAAAGGAACCTTCTCTCACACTTTATCAGTGGATGAAAATGTGTGTGTGTGCATCTTTGTCTATGTGTGTGTATATTTGTGTGGGTGTATATTTGTGTGTGTATGTATGTGTACATGGGTGTATCTTTGTCTACATGTATACATGTGTGTTTTGTCCCCATGCAGGGCTGGCTGAAGAAGCGTTCCCCTCAGGAGGGAGAGGTGCTGAGAGAGCTGTTCTCCTCTTCCTTCCCAGAGGTCTACCGGTTCAGTGTTCACTGTCTGGAGTACAAGATCGACATGCTGGAGGCCTTCGTCATCATGCAGAGCATCAACATGCTGCAGGGCCTCATCCCCGCCAAGGTAGGCACCTGAAACCTCCATACTCCAACCATGGGGCGGCAGGTAGGGTAAGAGCGTTGTGCCAGTAACCGAAAGGTCGCTGGTTCTAATCCCTGAGCCGACTAGGTGAAAAAATCTGTTGATGTGCCCTTGAGCAAGGCTCCTGTAAGTCGCTCTGTATAAGAGCGTCTGCTAAATGACTAAAATGTAAATATTAAAAACCCTGCAGAAGGGGGATAATATCCTTACATCATTGAGCTCTATGAGTACTGTTGGAGTGAATTGCCCCCATATTCCTCATAGAAACAAATTACAATGTTCTAATGCCTAACTGATTTAATTCATCATGTCATTGTGATTCCTTTAGCACTCTGGTTTTCAATTACTGTTGGACTATAACGCTCTGGACTCTGCATTTATGTGGGGATGGATTTCAATTTCCCTTTACTGTAGGTGACTGATTAATTTGAGCGCCAAGTATGAAGTATAGTAGCTATAAAGATGTAGAAGGGCTTTGGTACAGTATGCTGTGTTGATAGTGACTGTTGTTGTGTTCCAGGAGCAGGGTGGGGAGGTGTCCAGGCAGCATGTGGAGCGTCTCTATGTGTTTGCTCTCATGTGGAGCATCGGAGCTTTACTGGAGCTGGAAGACAGGAGGAAGATGGAGAGCTGGCTCCGTGGCAACGACAACATCCATCTGGACCTCCCAGATATACCATCAGACAGCGAGGACACCATGTTCGACTACCACGTCACTATAGACGGTGAGGGGTAGATGTACAGTAGACAGACTCCACAAACTCACAACACACACTCAGTCCTCTTATAATGGACTGTTATGGAAGAGACACTTAACAAAAATATAAAGGCAACATGTAAAGTGTTGGTCCCATGTTTTCATGAGCTGAAATAAAACATGCACAAAAAGCTTATTTCTCTCTATGTTAGTGAGCATTTCTCCTTTGCCAAGATAATCCATCCACCTGACAGGTGTGGCACATTAAGCTGATTAAAAAGCATGATCATTACACAGGTGCACCTTGTGCTGTGGACAATAAAAGGTCACTCTAAAATGTGCAGTTTTATCACACAACACAATGCCACAGATGTCTCAAGTTTAGAGGGAGCGTGCAATTGGCATGCTGACTGCAGGAATGTCCACCAGAGCTGTTGCCAGATATTTGAATGTTCATTTCTCTACCATAAGCCACCTCCAACGTCATTTTAGAGAATTTGGCAGTACGTCCAACCGGCCTCGCAACCACAGACCATGTGTAACCACACCAGCCCCTCCTCATCCGGCTTCTTCACCTGCGAGAGAGTCTGAGACCAGCCACTCGGACAGCTGATGAAACTGTGGGTTTGCACAACCGAAGAAGGAAGGTCCAAAAAATTGTCAAAGACTCCAGTCACCCAAGTCGTAGTAGACTGTTCTCTCTGCTACCGCACGGCAAGCGGTACCGGAGCGCCAAGTCTAGGTCCAAAAGGCTCCTTAACAGCTTCTACCCCCAAGCCATAAGACTACTGAACAATTAATCAAATGGCCACCCGGACTATTTACATTGACCCCCCCCTTGTTTTTAAACTGCTGCTACTCGTTGTTTATTATCTATGCATAGTCACTTTACCCCTACCTACATGTACAAATTACCTCGACTAACCTGTACCCACATTGACTCGGTACCGGTACCCCCTGTATATAACCTCGTTATTGTTATTTTATTGTGTTACTTTTTATTTTATGTTTTACTTTAGTTTATTTAGTAAATATTGTCTTAACTCTATTTCTTGAACTGCATTGTTGGTTAAGGGCTTTTAAGTAAGCATTTCATGTTAAGGTCTACACCTGTTGTATTCGGCATATGTGACAAATACAATTTGATTTGATAATTCCTGGAAGCTGAAAATGGCCCAGTTCTTCCATGGCCTGCATACTCACCAGACATGTCATCCATTGAGCATGTTTGGGATGCTTTAAATTGACATGTACGGCAGCGTGTTCCAGTTCCCGCCAATAGCCAGCAACTTCGCACAGCCATTGAAGAGGAGTGGGACAACATTCCACAGGCCACAATCAACAGCTTGATCAACTCTATGCGAATGAGATGTGTCACGCTGCATCTGGTCACACCAGATACTGACTGGTTTTCTGATCCACGCCCCTCCCTTTTTTTTAAAGGTATCTGTGAACAACATATGTATATCTGTGTTCCCAGTCATGTGAAATCCATGGATTAGGGCCTAATGAATTTATTTCAATTGACTGATTTCCTTATATGAACTGTAACTCAGTAAAATCTTTGAAATTGTTGCATGTTGCATTTATATTTTTGTTCAGTGTAGATCATAAGATCATATTGATCTTTCACAGTGCTCTTGCTCAATTAAAAAGTTGGTGCATTGAAATATAAACATCATGGGCCAATTGCAACCAGATTATCACCATCTGATAATGTTCAACCTTCCCAAGTTCTCTCACGTCCACCTCCGTACCTTCAGGCTCTGATCAGTCCCTACACCCAAACGAGGGCATTGTGTTCATCCACCTCTGGCCTGCTGGCCCCCCTACCTCTGCGGAAGCACAGTTCCCGCTCAGCCCAGTCAAAACTGCTCGCTGCCCTGGCACCCCAATGGTGGAACAAGCTCCCTCACGACGCCAGGACAGCGGAGTCACTCACCACATTCCGGAGACACTTGAAACCCCACCTCTTTAAGGAATACCTGGGATAGGATAAAGTAATCATTCTACCCCCCCTTACCCCACCCCCCCAATTTTTTTTTTTATATATATATATATATACAGTGAGGGAAAAAAGTATTTGATCCCCTGCTGATTTTTTACGTTTGCCCACTGACAAAGAAATGATCAGTCTATAATTTTAATGGTAGGTTTATTTGAACAGTGAGAGACAGAATAACAACAACAGAAATCCAGAAAAACGCATGTCAAAAATGTTATAAATTGATTTGCATTTTAATGAGGGAAATAAGTATTTGACCCCCTCTCAATCAGAAAGATTTCTGGCTCCCAGGTGTCTTTTATACAGGTAACGAGCTGAGATTAGGAGCACACTCTTAAAGGAAGTGCTCCTAATCTCAGTTTGTTACCTGTATAAAAGACACCTGTCCACAGAAGCAATCAATCAATCAGATTCCAAACTCTCCACCATGGCCAAGACCAAAGAGCTCTCCAAGGATGTCAGGGACAAGATTGTAGACCTACACAAGGCTGGAATGGGCTACAAGACCATCGCCAAGCAGCTTGGTGAGAAGGTGACAACAGTTGGTGCGATTATTCGCAAATGGAAGAAACACAAAATAACTGTCAATCTCCCTCGGCCTGGGGCTCCATGCAAGATCTCACCTCGTGGAGTTGCAATGATCATGAGAACGGTGAGGAATCAGCCCAGAACTACACGGGAGGATCTTGTCAATGATCTCAAGGCAGCTGGGACCATAGTCACCAAGAAAACAATTGGTAACACACTACGCCGTGAAGGACTGAAATCCTGCAGCGCCCGCAAGGTCCCCCTGCTCAAGAAAGCACATATACAGGGCCGTCTGAAGTTTGCCAGTGAACATCTGAATGATTCAGAGGAGAACGGGGTGAAAGTGTTGTGGTCAGATGAGACAAAAATCGAGCTCTTTGGCATCAACTTAACTCTCCGTGTTTGGAGGAGGAGGAATGCTGCCTATGACCCCAAGAACACCATCCCCACCGTCAAACATGGAGGTGGAAACATTATGCTTTGGGGGTGTTTTTCTGCTAAGGGGACAGGACAACTTCACCGCATCAAAGGTACGATGGACGTGGCCATGTACCGTCAAATCTTGGGTGAGAACCTCCTTCCCTCAGCCAGGGCATTGAAAATGGGTCATGGATGGGTATTCCAGCATGACAATGACCCAAAACACACGGCCAAGGCAACAAAGGAGTGGCTCAAGAAGGAGCACATTAAGGTCCTGGAGTGGCCTAGCCAGTCTCCAGACCTTAATCCCATAGAAAATCTGTGGAGGGAGCTGAAGGTTCGAGTTGCCAAACGTCAGCCTCGAAACCTTAATGACTTGGAGAAGATCTGCAAAGAGGAGTGGAACAAAATCCCTCCTGAGATGTGTGCAAACCTGGTGGCCAGCTACAAGAAACGTCTGACCTCTGTGATTGCCAAAAAGGGTTTTGCCACCAAGTACTAAGTCATGTTTTGCAGAGGGGTCAAATACTTATTTCCCTCATTAAAATGCAAATCAATTTATAACATTTTTGACATGCGTTTTTCTGTATTTTTTGTTGTTGTTATTCTGTCTCTCACTGTTCAAATACTGTAAACCTACCATTAAAATTATAGACTGATCATGTCTTTGTCAGTGGGCAAACGTAAAAAATCAGCAGGGGATCAAATACCTTTTTCCCTCACTGTATATATATATATATACAGTGGGGGGAAAAAGTATTTAGTCAGCCACCAATTGTGCAAGTTCTCCCACTTAAAAAGATGAGAGAGGCCTGTAATTGTCATCATAGGTACACGTGAACTATGACAGACAAAATGAGAAAAAAAAATCCCGAAAATCACATTGTAGGATTTTTAATGAATTAATTTGCAAATTATGGTGGAAAATAAGAATTTGGTCAATAACAAAAGTTTCTCAATACTTTGTTATATACCCTTTGTTGGCAATGACACAGGTCAAACGATTTCTGTAAGTCTTCACAAGGTTTTCACACACTGTTGCTGGTATTTTGGCCCATTCCTCCATGCAGATCTCCTCTAGAGCAATGATGTTTTGGGGCTGTCGCTGGGCAACACAGACTTTCAACTCCCTCCAAAGATTTTCTATGGGGTTGAGATCTGGAGACTGGCTAGGCCACTCCAGGACCTTGAAATGCTTCTTACGAAGCCACTCCTTCGTTGCCCGGGCGGTGTGTTTGGGATCATTGTCATGCTGAAAGACCCAGCCACATTTCATCTTCAATGCCCTTGCTGATGGAAGGAGGTTTTCACTCAAAATCTCACGATACATGGCCCCATTCATTCTTTCCTTTACACGGATCAGTCGTCCTGGTCCCTTTGCAGAAAAACAGCCCCAAAGCATGATGTTTCCACCCCCATGCTTCACAGTAGGTATGGTGTTCTTTGGATTTAACTCAGCATTCTTTGTCCTCCAAACACGACGAGTTGAGTTTTTACCAAAAAGTTATATTTTGGTTTCATCTGACCATATGACATTCTCCCAATCCTCTTCTGGATCATCCAAATGCACTCTAGCAAACTTCAGACGGGCCTGGACATGTACTGGCTTAAGCAGGGGGACACGTCTGGCACTGCAGGATTTGAGTCCCTGGCGGCGTAGTGTGTTACTGATGGTAGGCTTTGTTACTTTGGTCCCAGCTCTCTGCAGGTCATTCACTAGGTCCCCCCGTGTGGTTCTGGGATTTTTGCTCACCGTTCTTGTGATCATTTGACCCCACGGGGTGAGATCTTGCGTGGAGCCCCAGATCGAGGGAGATTATCAGTGGTCTTGTAGTCTTCCATTTCCTAATAATTGCTCCCACAGTTGATTTCTTCAAACCAAGCTGCTTACCTATTGCAGATTCAGTCTTCCCAGCCTGGTGCAGGTCTACAATTTTGTTTCTGGTGTCCTTTGACAGCTCTTTGGTCTTGGCCATAGTGGAGTTTGGAGTGTGACTGTTTGAGGTTGTGGACAGGTGTCTTTTATACTGATAACAAGTTCAAACAGGTGCCATTAATACAGGTAACGAGTGGAGGACAGAGGAGCCTCTTAAAGAAGAAGTTACAGGTCTGTGAGAGCTAGAAATCGTGCTTGTTTGTAGGTGACCAAATACTTATTTTCCACCTTAATTTGCAAATAAATTCATTAAAAATCCTACAATGTGATTTTCTGGAAAAAAAATCTCAATTTGTCTGTCATAGTTGACGTGTACCTATGATGAAAATTACAGGCCTCTCTCATCTTTTTAAGTGGGAGAACTTGCACAATTGGTGGCTGACTAAATACTTTTTTTCCCCACTGTATATATATATATATATATATATATATATATATATATATATATATATTATATATATTGTAAAGTGGTTGTCCCACTGGCTATCATAAGGTGAATGCACCAATTTGTAAGTCGCTCTGGATAAGAGCGTCTGCTAAGTGACGAAAATGTAAATGTGATCTGATCTCTTGTTAAACCATTAATATGCGTTAAATTCACCCACATAGCTGATCTCAATTTGCAAACATTATTGGTCACCTCATTACCATTCCTTATAAGGTGATGTTGGTATTACATTAGTCCTGCTTGCTTTCAAAGGGTTTCAAGATATGTTCACCCTCCGGTGGGTATTATCATCAGAAAAATGTCATTTATCTATTTGACAATCATTCCGTAGAACTGAACTAGTATTTCCAGCTGATGACATCGTGGATGGTGAAAATTCCATCTGATGACATCATGGATGGTGTCCATGATGCTCACATCTATTTGTTTTTCAATGATTTATTATTGTATGTCCTCCTGTGTGTGCAGGTCAGTGGGTCCACTGGAACACGCGGGTAGAGGAGTACGTCTACCCATCAGATCTCACTCCAGAGTACGGATCCATCCTGGTCCCCAACGTGGACAATGTCCGCACTGACTTCCTCATCCAGACCATCGCCAATCAGGGCAAGGTGAGAGTCCAAAAACCTAACCCACCTAACCCTAACCCTTACTCTAACCCTCATCCAAACCATAGCCAAACAGGGCGAGGTGGGTGTCCGTATTCACAAAGGGTCTCAGAGTATTAGGGCTGATCTAGGATCAAGTCCCCTATGTATATATAATCGTATTCATTATTATCTAAAAGGCTATACTGATCCTATATTAGCAATCCTGTTCTGAGTATTGTTAATTTGGCTTCTAAGTGGAGGATAAGTTACCCCCTAGCCATGTGATCTTGGTCAGATCCTCAAGAGTAATTCCTTCCTCGTTTTGTTGCAGGCTGTGCTGTTGATCGGAGAGCAAGGCACAGCCAAGACGGTCATCATCAAGGGATACATGTCAAAGTACGACCCCGAAACTCACATGGCCAAGAGTCTCAACTTCTCCTCCGCCACAACCCCACTCATGTTCCAGGTATTACACCTACAAAACAACACCACACACTTTCTGCTCTTTACTCTAACTTTTCAAGTTTTAGATGGGTAGGACTTTCTAAGATCAGTTGTGAATGAATGAAAATGTTTTCCAGTCACTTGTCAGTAAGTTTATCTGACTACTCAGGTCTATGCACCATTTATTTACAGTAACAATACTTCAAATGTGCATTTTGTTCCCTTATTCACTGTCTGTAAAGATGAAACACTTTCTTTCTTTCTCTCCAGCGGACTGTGGAGAGCTATGTGGACAAGCGGATGGGCACCACCTACGGCCCTCCTGCAGGGAAGAAGATGTCCATCTTTGTGGACGACATCAACATGCCAGTCATCAATGATTGGGGAGATCAGGTCGGACTCAAACTCAGCACTCATTAAATCACCATAGCGAAAGACAAAAAAGTGCACGTTTTCCCATTTGTTTTCCTGGGAAACCTTACCATATGAAATTGCAACCCGAGAGTGTACAGATTATTCTGCCTTTTTACCTAATTTCCTAATTTGTCTCACCCCGCTTTAGGTCACCAATGAGATAGTCCGCCAGCTGATGGAACAGAACGGGTTCTTCAATCTGGAGAAGCCGGGGGAGTTCACCAATATTGTGGACATCCAGTTCCTGGCAGCGATGATCCACCCAGGGGGAGGCCGCAACGACATCCCCCAGAGACTGAAGAGGCAGTTCTCCATCTTCAACTGCACCCTGCCCTCCAACGCATCCATCGACAAGATATTTGGTGGGTTTGGCTCCTTAAAAACTCTGAAATTGCATCTGTGTGTGGAGACTCTATGGTTTAGCTTCTTGATCAGTGTGGGTTTCCCTCTCCCCCTCTAGCATATTTAAAAAAGAAAATTATTGAATACCCTGTAATTTGAGTTACCTGTACTACTTCTCATCCATTTACACTGGGCTTCTTGTCATTTTGACTATATTAGATATCTATATATACATATATAATTACACCATTATATATCTCTCAACAAAAACACTATTTTCTTTCACTTATTTACCTCAATGCTTCGTCCACCTTCACGTCGTCAACCCCTGTTCCCCTCACCTCACTCCTTTCCCTGACCAGGAGTCATCGGGACAGGACACTACTGTGCCAGGCGAGGCTTCACAGAAGAGGTGCGTGGAACTGTGGCCAAGCTGGTGCCGCTGACCCGTCGGCTGTGGCAGATGACCAAGGTCAAGATGCTGCCCACTCCGGCCAAGTTCCACTACATCTTCAACCTCAGAGACTTGTCCAGAGTCTGGCAGGGCATGCTCAACCCAACCGCTGAGGTGGTCAACTCTCTTACTGTGAGTCCATTCAAACGTTCCAGTAAAACTTTATTTGGGTATTCTATCTGTAGATTCTCTACAGACTATCAGTAACATTTAAACTAACTATCAACTAACCCTAACCTTAACCCTTACCCTAACCCTTATTCTAAACCTAACTCTAACTGTAATCTTAGAAAACAGTTGCTTATCAACACATAGTTTGTTGATAGTATGACATGCTCTACAGATGGACTATCTGGACTATCCAAATAAAGTGTGACTGAATTTCCTCTTGAAAGACAATAAACATAATCAATCAATCCAATACAACTAGAGGAATAAATATCAAAAGGTTACTCACTGGATCCAAAGGTCTGAATGAACTGAGAAAAATAGCTATGGCTTCTGTCCTAAATTACAGTAAGATTCGAGACATTTAATCAGCAGTTGTTCTGTGAATGTAGACTTAACATTTCCATGAGACAAATGTTGTTTTATTTTGACCCTGTATGCTGTAGGTGTTGCTTCAGCTGTGGAAGCATGAGTGTAAGCGTGTGATCGCGGACCGGTTCACCATGCCAGAAGATGTAGCCTGGTTCGACAGGGCCCTGGCCAAGCTAGTAGAGGAGGAGCTAGGAGAGGAAGAGAGGGCTGTGGTCGACTTCGGGGTAGACGGCTACTTTGTTGACTTCCTGAGAGATGCTCCTGAAGCTACAGGTATAGCCAAAGCACCAGGTACTGTATAGCCCCTTCACATGCATACACTATCTATCGCATGATCCTGCATGAGATAAGTCATTTGCAGTTTTTTAACCCTTATTGTCTATATTAAATATGTGCTGTATTTTTCTACCATGTATTAAGGATTCAAACAGTACATTCTAAGATGGTGTGTTAAGGTTTATTATTATGTTGTATATATTGCAGTTTAAAGCTGAATTTCAGGTTATTATATTAAATTAATATATATATATATATATATATATATATATATATATATATATATATATATATACAATAATAAATACAAAATACTTTTTTTATTTAAATTCAAGTTGCTTCAATATTGACAAATCAAGCAAACTAGCTATGTGCTAGCAGAGAGTTGGATCATTTGAATGGGATAATCTGGCATTAAAAATGACTACATTTTTCCCACCAGGTGAGGAGCCAGAGGATACAGACTTTGAGATGCCCAAGGTGTATGAGCCCATCGAGTCGCTTGAGAGCCTGATGGACAGGCTCAACATGTTCCTTGACCAGTACAACGATAGCATCAGAGGAGCTGGCATGGACATGGTGTTCTTCAGAGATGCTATGATACACCTGGTCAAGGTAGAGGGAAACTGTCATTATGCTCACTTGTAGTTATAGGTGTTTATGAGCAATTATTACCACCTTTGTCATGAATTATAGTGCATCGTGTATAGATCATAAGGTATTATAAACATGCTTATATCACATTACAATGAGGGTCTTCATAGAAAATATTACTAAACATTCCCATTGGAAGCTTTTGAAAGGCTTAGCTATTGTCAAGTGTCAATGTGCAGCGGTAGGACGGAGTCAGGCGCAGGACACAGAACTGAGTAAACGACGTACTTTACTCGATAAAGTAACCAACACTAATTTCCACGCAGGGAAAACACACCAGCTCACATAAGTCTTAGACACAAAACAAAGAACAAACACGCACAAAACCATGTGGGAACCAGAGGGTTAAATAGGGAAATAATATAATGTAATGGGAACCAGGTGTGTACAATCAAGACAAAACAAATGGAAAAAGAAACGTAGATCGGTGGCAGCTAGAAAGCCGGTGACGACGACCGCCGAACGCCGCCCGAACAAGGAGAGGCACTAACTTCGGCGGAAGTTGTGACAGTACCCCCCCCCTTGACGCGCAGCTCTAGCAGCGCGCCGACACCGGCCTCGGGGACGACCCGGACCGTACCCCTTCCACTCCACGAGGTACTGAAGGCCCCTCGCCTGACGCCTTGAGTCCATGATGGCTCGTACAGTATACGCCGGGACCCCCTCGATGTCCAGAGGGGGCGGAGGAACCTCCCGCACCTCAGACTGCGGGAGCAGACCTGCCACCACCGGCCTGAGGAGAGACACATGGAACGAGGGGTTAATACAGTAATCAGGGGGAGCTGTAACCTATAGCATACCTCGTTCTGTCTCCTCAGGACTTTAAATGGCCCCACAAACCGCGGACCCAGCTTCCGGCAGGGCAGGCGAAGGGGCAGGTTTCGGGTCGAGAGCCAGACCCGGTCCCCCGGTGCATACACCAGGGCCTCACTGCGGTGGCGGTCGGCACTCGCCTTCTGTCACCTGATGGCCCGTTGCAGGCGCACATGGGCAGCGTCCCATGTCTCCTCCAGAGCGCCGAAACCATTCATCCACCGCAGGTGCCTCGATCTGGCTCTGATGCCACAGTGCCAGGACCGGCTGATACCCTAGTACACACTGAAACGGAGACATGTTAGTGGAGGAGTGGTGGAGGGAGTTTTGGGCCATCTCTGCCCAGGGGATGAAAGCCGCCCCTCCCCCAGCCGGTCCTGGCAATAGGACCGCAGAAACCTACCCACATCCTGGTTAACTCTCTCCACCTGCCCATTACTCTCGGTATGGTTTGGATTCTCCACCATAGTTGCACCTATGGAAACACCTACACACCTCCCTGAGCACTGACGTGACCATCCCTTGAGAGCCCTCTGTTGCCACGAAATAGTGGGGTCATGAGAGGCCAACCAGGGAAACCCCAACACCACAGGAAACGCAGGAGAATCGATCAGGAAGAGACTAATTCTCTCCTCATGACCCTCCTGCGTTTTCATACATGGTGGAGCTGTGACCTCCCTAATCAGGACCAATCCTAGAGGATGACTATCTAAGGCATGTACAGGGAAGGGCACATCAACAGGAACAATAGGGATCCCTAATCTATGTGCAAATAAACGGTCCATAAAGTTCCCAGCTGCGCCTGAATCTACTAGTGCCTTATGCTGGGAATGCGGGGAAAACTCAGGAAATTCTATGCATACACACATGTGCGCAACAGGGAGCTCTGGGTGAGTCGGGTGCCTACTCACCTGGGATGATCCACCAGTGCCCTGCCTGCTGCCTCGACTCCTTCGGGAACCTCCCCAGCACCGACCAGCAGTGTGCCCTCTGCGGCCACAGTTGGTGCAGGAAACGTCCCCCCCTCCGGTCACCCTTAGAGCAGCACCTCCGAGCTCCATAGGGGTAGGGTCGGAGGTGCTGGGGGATGGAATGGACGGACCCTGACCCGGACGTCCACGGGTGGCCAACAGGTTATCCAGCCGAATAGATAAATCCACCAGCTGGTCGATGGTAAGGGTGGTGTCCCTGCATGCCAGCACCCGACGAACGTCCTCACGTAGACTACACCGGTAATGGTCGATCAGGGCCCTCTCATTCCATCCCGCGCTGGCAGCCAAGGTCCTGAAGTCCAGTGCGAAGTCCTGTGCGCTCCTCTTCCCCTGTCTGAGGTGGAACAAGCGTTCCCCCGCCGCTCTCTCCTCAGGTGGATGATCGAAGACAGGGGAAGGGTGAAATCCTCATAGCGAACCAACGCTGCGTCTATTCCTCCCCATTCTGCGTTGTCCCACTCAAGCGCTCTCCCAGACAGACAGGAGATGAGGGCAGACACGCTCTCGTATCCCGAGGGAGCCGGGTGGATGGTCGCCAGGTAGAGCTCCACCTGGAGCAGGAACCCCTGGCACCCAGCAGCCGTCCCATCATATGCCCTCGGGAGCGAGAGCCGAATCCCACTGGGTCCAGGTGACGGAGGGGTGGACATCGGTGTGGGTTGATCTGAAGTTGATGGGGTTGTGGGAAAAAACCCTTTCTCCCATCGCTCCATGGTCTGCAACATGGTCTGTGCCAAGATTCTGGAGCATCGTCGTGTGCTGCTGGACGCGCTCCTCCACGGGTACCGGAGGACTGGATGCACCTGCTGACTCCATATATGGTGCGTGTTTCTGTCAAGTGTCAATGTGCAGCGGTAGGACGGAGTCAGCGCAGGACCAGAACTGAAAACAACGTACTTTACTCGATAAAGTCACCAACACTACTTTCCTTCCACGCAGGAAAACCCTCCACTCACATAGTCTTAGACACAAAACAAACAAACACGCACAAAACCTGTGGGAACCAGAGGGTTAAATAGGGAATATATATGTACTGGGAACCAGGTGTGTACAATCAGACAAAATTCAAATGGAAAAAGAAACGTAGATCAGTGCAGCTAGAAGCCGGTGACGACGACCGCCGAACGCCGCCCGAACAAGGAGAGGCACCAACTTCGGCGGAAGTCGTGACAGCTATCTTAAAGTCAGTCACCAATGAGTGTACGCATCAGATCACTTGATATAAGAATTGCTTCTATTGAAAACAGAAAAGGAAGGAGTCACTCCCACTCCAACACTCCACCTGTCTGGTCTGTCTGTAGGTCTCCAGGATCATCCGCACGCCCAGAGGGAATGCCCTTCTGGTAGGAGTTGGGGGATCAGGCAAGCAGAGCCTGACTAAACTGGCTTCCTTCATCGCCGGATACAAGACCTTTCAGATCACACTAACACGGTACAGACACACCCTCCAATGTCTATACTAGCATACTACTACATACTGCATACTAAGTAGTATGCTAGGAAGGGTATTGGAACAGACACACAGTCTCATACAGTCCCTTTACAACTGTAACAGGCATTTGTAATGTATTGAACGTGGCCATGCAGTTCTGTTTTCCTCCTGTAGATGCACAGTGACTCTGCAAATTTGTCTTTCCTCGATTCCTCACGTCCCCTATCCTTCACTATTTTCACACCTTCACTATCACCTGTAACAACCCTGTGTTCTGTCCTCAGTTCGTACAACACTGCTAACCTGATGGAGGATCTGAAGGGTCTGTACAGGACAGCAGGCCAGCAGGGAAAAGGCATCAGCTTCATCTTCACTGATAACGAGATCAAGGACGAGTCTTTCCTGGAGTACATGAATAATGTGCTATCGTCTGGAGAGGTCAGGACTCACATTGATCACATGCACACACACACATAGAGGGCACACATAAAGCATTCGAGCATTTTCAAGAAGTTGTGTCAATCTGTGTTTGAGAGAAACAATTCTTGTACATTATAACTTGGATAACTGTTGTTATACAGTGGGGGAAAAAAGTATTTAGTCAGCCACCAATTGTGCAAGTTCTCCCACTTAAAAAGATGAGAGAGGCCTGTAATTTTCATCATAGGTACACGTCAACTATGACAGACAAATTGAGGGAAAAAAATCCAGAAAATCACATTGTAGGATTTATTATGAATTTATTTGCAAATGATGGTGGAAAATAAGTATTTGGTCACCTACAAACAAGCAAGATTTCTGGCTCTCACAGACCTGTAACTTATTCTTTAAGAGGCTCCTCTGTCCTCCACTCGTTACCTGTATTAATGGCACCTGTTTCAACTTGTTATCAGTATAAAAGACACCTGTCCACAACCTCAAACAGTCACACTCCAAACTCCACTATGGCCAAGACCAAAGAGCTGTCAAAGGACACCAGAAACAAAATTGTAGACCTGCACCAGGCTGGGAAGACTGAATCTGCAATAGGTAAGCAGCTTGGTTTGAAGAAATCAACTGTGGGAGCAATTATTAGGAAATGGAAGACATACAAGACCACTGATAATCTCCCTCGATCTGGGGCTCCACGCAAGATCTCACCCCGTGGGGTCAAAATGATCACAAGAACGGTGAGCAAAAATCCCAGAACCACACGGGGGGACCTAGTGAATGACCTGCAGAGAGCTGGGACCAAAGTAACAAAGCCTACCATCAGTAACACACTACGCCGCCAGGGACTCAAATCCTGCAGTGCCAGACGTGTCCCCCTGCTTAAGCCAGTACATGTCCAGGCCCGTCTGAAGTTTGCCAGAGTGCATTTGGATGACCCAGAAGAGGATTGGGAGAATGTCATATGGTCAGATGAAACCAAAATATAACTTTTTGGTAAAAACTCAACTCGTCGTGTTTGGAGGACAAAGAATGCTGAGTTGCATCCAAAGAACACCATACCTACTGTGAAGCATGGGGGTGGAAACATCATGCTTTGGGGCTGTTTTTCTGCAAAGGGACCAGGACGACTGATCCGTGTAAAGGAAAGAATGAATGGGGCCATGTATCGTGAGATTTTGAGTGAAAACCTCCTTCCATCAGCAAGGGCATTGAAGATGAAACGTGGCTGGGTCTTTCAGCATGACAATGATCCCAAACACACCGCCCGGGCAACGAAGGAGTGGCTTCGTAAGAAGCATTTCAAGGTCCTGGAGTGGCCTAGCCAGTCTCCAGATCTCAACCCCATAGAAAATCTTTGGAGGGAGTTGAAAGTCCGTGTTGCCCAGCGACAGCCCCAAAACATCACTGCTCTAGAGGAGATCTGCATGGAGGAATGGGCCAAAATACCAGCAACAGTGTGTGAAAACCTTGTGAAGACTTACAGAAAACGTTTGACCTGTGTCATTGCCAACAAAGGGTATATAACAAAGTATTGAGAAACTTTTGTTATTGACCAAATACTTATTTTCCACCATAATTTGCAAATAAATTCATTAAAAATCCTACAATGTGATTTTCTGGATTTTTTTTCCTCATTTTGTCTGTCATAGTTGACGTGTACCTATGATGAAAATTACAGGCCTCTCTCATCTTTTTAAGTGGGAGAACGTGCACAATTGGTGGCTGACTAAATACTTTTTTCCCCACTGTATATTGTGCTGGTTTTTTCAGGTATCAAACTTGTTCGCTCGAGATGAAATTGACGAGATCATCAGTGACCTCATACCAGTCATGAAAAGAGAGTTTCCTCGGCGACCACCGACCAATGAGAACCTCCATGACTACTTTATGAGCAGGGTCAGACAGAACCTTCACGTGGTTCTCTGCTTCTCTCCCGTGGGGGAAAAGTTCCGGAACAGAGCCCTGAAGTTCCCTGCCCTCATCTCCGGCTGCACCATGGACTGGTTCAGCCGCTGGCCCAAAGATGCTCTGATCGCAGGTGTGTGTGTGTGTCCGTTTGTGTATATGCATGTGTTTTCGTCTCTGTGTATGCGCACATACAGTATAAATCTATACTGCACACTTTAATAGTGATTTGCTTCAATCTCCAATCTGTTTACTCTCCAGTGTCAGAGCACTTCCTGTCCACCTATGACATCGACTGTTCGACCGTGGTGAAGGGAGAGGTGGTGCAGTGTATGGGCTCCTTCCAGGACGGCGTGGCAGAGAAGTGTGTAGATTACTTCCAGAGGTACCGCCGCGCCACACACGTCACTCCCAAGTCCTACCTCTCCTTCATCCAGGGATACAAGACCATCTATAAGGAGAAGCACTCCGAGGTGCAGACACTGGCACACAGGTAATTACGGTACTTCCTTACTTACTTAATGCTCTTCGTTACTATGTGGAACATACGGCTTCACAGTACACCATGGTCTAAAGAAATGATCGTTGTTTATCACAGCATTTCTTATCTATTGTAATGCCGTGTGTCTATCACATGATTGAATAGAATACTAGTATTATATAGTATTATATTCTATATACCAATACATGGTGTCTACTATACTATATTGTGCTCTTAGCATTCTGCCTTTCAGTCATCCTTTTACTCATTAATATGTGTTCAAGAAAGATTAGACCAAATTTACCTGGTATACTTGTATAATAGAATGATTGTTGATCCCATTCTGTTTCCCCATCAGGATGAACACAGGTCTTCAGAAGCTGAAGGAGGCCTCTGTGTCTGTAGCATTACTCAGCAAAGAGCTGGAGGTCAAAGAGAAGGAGCTGCAGATCGCCAACGAGAAGGCAGACATGGTGTGTGTGTGTGTGTGTGTGTGTGTGTGTGTGTGTGTGTGTGTGTGTGTGTGTGAGTGTGTTTGGTGTATGTTAGTCCTCTATCTCTTAATTCCCAGTCACAGACTTACGAAATACCAATACCAGAACTTTGAAGTGTACACATACTGAACAAAAATATAAACGCACCATGCAACAATTTCAAAGATTTTACTGAGTGACAGTTCATATAAGGAAATCTTTAGGCCCTTATCTACTTATCTATCGATTTCACATGACTGGGCAAGGGTGCAGCCATGGGTGGGCATTGGCCCACCCACTTGGCAGCCAGGCCCACCCACTGGGGAGACAGGCCCAGCCAATCAGAATTAGTTTTTCCCCACAAAAGGGCTTTATTACAGACAGAAATACTCCTCAGCAACCCCCCTCCACCCCCTCAGACGATCCCGCAGGTGAAGAAGCTGGATATGGAGGTCCTGGGCTGGTGTGGTTACACGTGGTCTGCGATTATGAGGCCGGTTGGACGTACCACCAAATTCTCTAAAACGACATTGGAGGCAGTTTATGGTAGAGAAATTAACATTAAATTATTTGGCAACAGCTCTGGTGAACATTCCTGCAGTCAGCATGCAAGTTGCACACTCCCTCAAAACTTGAGACATTGGTGGCATTGTATTGTGTGACAAAACTGCACATTTTAAAGTTTCCTTTTATTGTCCCCAGCACAAGGTGCACCTGTGTAAGGATCATGCTGTTTAATCAGCTTCTTGATATGCCGCACCTGTCAGGTGGATGGATTATCTTGGCAAAGGACAAATGCTCACTAACAGGGATGTAAACAAATTTGTGCACAAAATTTGAGAGAAATAAAGCTGGAAAATGTAGGATATTTTTTATTTCAGATCATAAAACATGGGACCAACACTATTCATGTTGCGTTTATATTTGTATTCAGTGTATAACGACACAATAACTCCACACTTTGGAAAAGTTAAAAAAATAAAGTTGCTTTATGCAAACCAAAAGATGCACCTCTCTTCCTGTCTCTCTTGTGATGGTTTGTTGTGTCTCAGGTGTTGAAGGTGGTGACAGTGAAGGCCCAGGCAGCAGAGAAGGTCAAGGTGGAGGTCCAGAAGGTCAAGGATAAGGCCCAGGCCATAGTGGACAGCATCTCTGCTGACAAGGCCTTCGCTGAGGAGAAGCTGGAGGCTGCCAAGCCAGCCCTGGAGGAGGCTGAGGGTGCACTACAGGTCTGTTGGGAGGGGGCAGAGGGGGCACTACAGGTCTGTTGGGAGGGGGCAGAGGGGGTGAGTGGGGGACAAGGGGGTTCTTCTGAGTAGCATCAGACCCAGTCATTGCTTCAAGTTCAGATCTCCAATTGTGTTTGGTGTGGCCCTCTCTGACCATGGATGCACTTGATTAAGCTGGAGTTTACACTTTTAAGACAATTCCATTGGTTCCATTGTACCTGGAAAAATCAGTTTTGACAAATGTATTTGACCCAATTCTTGTCCCTCAACGTCAGGGGTGGGCAACATACGAGCCCATTCATACTGGCCGAGGGGAGGTTTAAAATAAAATAAAAAATAAAATAGATTATCTTGGGATAAAAAAACACTTCAGGCCACTCTTGAATGTTGAAAGCTAGATAGAAAGTATGTAAAAAATATAATGGACCAAATAACTGCCGCAAATTGCCCTCCGCTGAATTTTGAAATCCCGACGTGGCCCTCGAGCTGAAATGATTGCCCACCCCTGCTCAACGTGGTAGTTCTCTCTCTGTATATCTGGTGAGAATATTTAGTGAATGTTCCCTCAGTTACTTATGCAGTTGTATTCCTTCCTCCTGTATTCATCAGACCATCAAGCCGTCGGACATCGCCACGGTGCGGACCCTGGGTCGGCCTCCCCACCTCATCATGAGGATCATGGACTGTGTTCTGCTGCTGTTCCAGAGGAGGGTGAACACGGTGAAGATCGACCCGGAGAAGAACTGCACCATACCCTCCTGGCAGGAGTCCCTCAAACTCATGACTGCTGGGAACTTCCTGGGCAGTCTGCAGGTAGGAAACAGATGGCCAGCATCTAAGTAGTATTACTTAGATAAGCAAATTAAGTATTACAGTGTGCAGGTACGACATCTACACACTGTAACCAGACTACACTGTGCATTTCTACAGTAACATACTACACTATAGACACTATACTACAGGGACATATGACCAGGAAATCAACTCAGGCTCTGTTGTCTCTCTCTAACAGCAATTCCCCAAAGACAGTATCAATGAGGAGATGGTGGAACTACTGCTGCCTTACTTTGACATGCCAGACTACACCCTGGAGACGGCCAAGCGCGTGTGTGGAAACGTGGCCGGTCTGGCCTCCTGGACCAAAGCCATGGCCTCCTTCTTCTCCATCAACAAGGAGGTGCTCCCATTAAAGGTGGGTCTATCCCAGGCAACCACAGGCTAAATCAATTTCAGGGGTATTTCACGAACTTGGTCAAATCGCTCCATTGTGTAACACCACCCGCGTCTCTGATAACCTTTGACATGTGTACCACAAACTTGCTAATTTATTTGTTGTTTCCAGTACATTTTGTGTCCAGTTAATATTTGATACTGTTCTTCCCTCTTAGGCAAACCTGGCAGTGCAGCAGAACCGGCTGGCCATAGCCAACATGGACCTGCAGACGGCCCAGGCAGAGCTGGATGACAAGCAGGCAGAGCTGGATGTGTTGCAAGCAGAGTATGAGAAGGCCATGATGGAGAAACAGGTACTGAACACCTCTCTTCTCATTGTCTTACATTAAAAAATAAATAAAAAATATTATGTTAAAAACATATATTCTCTCTCTCTCTCTCTGCCTCGCTCTCAGACTCTGTTGGAGGATGCTGAACGCTGCAGACACAAGATGCAGACAGCCTCTAGCCTCATCAGTGGTCTGGCTGGAGAGAAGGAGCGTTGGACAGGGCAGAGCAAAGAGTTTGCCGCCCAGACCAAGCGCCTTGTAGGTGGGTTCATTCAACCCTTTTTTCTCAGCCTTTTTTACAGTAATAACAGGGCTAACTTTCCCAAAAGCTTTGTATGACCTTTTGTCCATTGTCCACAATTCTCTACATCTTTTTTTTTTCGGGAAATGCTCTGAACCGGTTGCTACTGTACCATATTTTTCAATGTGTATTAGTATTTTATCTGTAGTTATGCTATACAGTAGGATGGAGGCGTGAACCAACCAATGTGTGCTTACTTCCTGGTTCAGGTGACGTCTTATTGGCCACGGCCTTTCTGTCCTACTCCGGCCCCTTCAACCAGGAGTTCCGGAACCTTCTCCTGACTGACTGGCAGAGGGAGATGAAGACCAGACGCATCCCGTTCGGGAACAACCTCAACCTGACCGAGATGCTGATCGACGCGCCCACGGTCAGCGAGTGGAACCTTCAGGGCCTGCCCAACGATGACCTTTCCATCCAGAACGGGATCATCATCACCAAGGCCTCACGCTTCCCTCTCCTCATAGACCCTCAGACCCAGGGCAAGATCTGGATAAAAAATAAAGAATCCAGGAACGAGCTGCAGGTTGGGCTGCATTCATTTTCACACTATTGTCCTCCTTCTCTCCCATAACTATGGCCTCCCATTGTCCAGCCGATAGATTTTGTATGTTTCCGAACAGCGGTTACACTAATCTTAGGCTTAACTAACCTTTGGATCTGTCAGATCTTCCTTCTTGGTCAAGAAACTCTGTGTAATGCTGTGTCAGTAATGAGACATTTTTGTGGTTCCCAGATCACCTCCCTGAACCACAAGTACTTTAGGAACCACCTGGAGGACAGCCTGTCTCTGGGGCGCCCCCTACTGATCGAGGACGTAGGGGAGGAGCTGGACCCGGCACTGGACAATGTACTGGAGAAAAACTTCATCAAGACGGGCTCCACTTATAAGGTATGTACTATTATCCTAACCACATTGTCAATTATCACATGAAACACATTATAATAATGGGGTTATTATCTCTGGGGCTATTCTCTCTAATCTAATACATCGAGAGCATAATTTGTCAAAATTGAGTTATTGACATAACCTTGTTCGGTTCTATGTTCTCTACCTATATAGTACTCTAAATACCCCAATTCATATGTTGTTAAGTTCAAAAGAATACACAGCTGACACAATTCAAACCAATGAGGCTTCAGAACGTTTAAAGCCAATTACCTCAGAATCATCTTTTTGCAGATAGAACCTTATAGTCCCAAGCTCTCAACATTCATGTGGCCTATGTGTTTTATTTACCCTTATAACAGTCACTGCGGGCAAAAATTAGCTTGGTATGTTATTCTGGTTGCAAACGACATCAGGAAAATATGTCATAATCCTGTTCAGCAGGATTGAACGTTTTGGAAAGTTTGGATAGAAATAGGCTACGTAGATCAAAGATGCCTCTCTGACATGTAGAATAAGGAATCACATCAGCTCTATTCATGGCATTTCTATCTGCAACGTTCAAGAACGTTTGGCAACTAAACATGGCCTTGAACCACATTGACTTTCTCTTTTCCTGCACCAGGTGAAAGTGGGAGACAAGGAGGTGGATGTGATGAGGGGGTTCCGTCTTTATGTGACCACTAAGCTCCCCAACCCAGCATACACCCCAGAGATCAGCGCCCGCACCTCCATCATAGACTTCACTGTCACCATGAGGGGTCTGGAGGACCAGTTGCTGGGACGGGTCATCCTCACTGAGAAACAGGTCAGGAACCACGTCCAATCATATGCTTATGAAATCATGGAGAAAAACATTTGAATGTATCAACAAAAGGTCATTTTGTTCTAGTTATTTAATAGTGAGCCTTTATTAGAATTGTACATAGTGACCGTGACCACCCATTTTGAAATGCACTGAATCACATGAGCACAGTGCATGAACCCAGCCAGGTCTGTATGTAGAGAAGTGTTCATATGACCTGAAAAATCAATGTCTGTCTTGTTTGTTGGTCTGAACTGTGCTGTTCTGAGCTGTGTCTGACCGGTGCTCCAATTTGCATACCGCCCCAACAGATCCACAGATGATGCAATCTCTATTGCACTCCACACTGCCCTTTCCCACCTGGACAAGAGGAACACCTACGTGAGAATGCTATTCATTGACTACAGCTCAGCATTCAACACCATAGTGCCCTCTAAGCTCATCACTAAGCTAAGGATCCTGGGACTAAACACCTCCCTCTGCAACTGGATCCTGGACTTCCTGACGGGCCGCCCCCAGGTGGTAAGGGTAGGTAACAACACATCTGCCACACTGATCCTCAACACGGGGGCCCCTCAGGGGTGCGTGCTCAGTCCCCTCCTGTACTCTCTGTTCACCCATGACTGCATGGCCAGGCACGACTCCAACACCATCATTAAGTTTGCCGACGACATAACAGTGGTAGGCCTGATCACCGACAACGATGAGACAGCCTATAGGGAGGAGGTCAGAGACCTGGCCGTGTGGTGCCAGGACAACAACCTCTCCCTCAACGTGACCAAGACAAAGGAGATGATTGTGGACTACAGGAAAAAAAAGAGGACTGAGCACGCCCCCATTCTCATCGACGGGGCTGTAGTGGAACAGGTTGAGAGCTTCAAGTTCCTTGGTGTCCACATCACCAACGAACTATCATGGTCCAAACACACCAAGACAGTCGTGAAGAGGGCACGACAAAGCCTATTCCCCCTCAGGAGACTGAAAAGATTTGGCATGGGTCCTCAGATCCTCAAAAAATTCTACAGCTGCACCATCGAGAGCATCCTGACTGGTTGCATCACCGCCTGGTATGGCAACTGCTTGGCCTCCGACCGCAAGGCACTACAGAGGGTAGTGTGTACGGCCCAGTACATCACTGGGGCCAAGCTTCCTGCCATCCAGGACCTCTATACCAGGCGGTGTCAGAGGAAGGCCCTCAAAATTGTCAAAGACTCCAGCCACCCTAGTCATAGACTGTTCTCCCTGCTACCGGTACCGGAGTGCCAAGTCTAGGTCCAAAAGACTTCTTGTAGAGAAGTGTTCATATGACCTGAAAAATCAATGTCTGTCTTGTTGTTGGTCTGAACTGTGCTGTTCTGAGCTGTGTCTGACCGGTGTTTCTGCCTGTTGGAGAAGGAGCGTACGGACCTGCTGGAGGACGTGACGGCCAACAAGAACATTAGTGTCTGAACAGTGTTCTTATCTATCCCTGTTATATCTAGGAGTTGGAGAAGGAGCGCACAGACCTGCTGGAAGATGTAACGGCCAACAAGAGGAAGATGAAAGAGCTGGAGGACAACCTGCTGTATCGTCTGACCTCTACCCAGGGTTCCCTGGTGGACGACGAGAGCCTCATCATCGTCCTGGGCAACACCAAGCGCACCGCCGAGGACGTCACACAGAAACTACAGATTGCAGCCGAGACCGAGATCCAGATCAACACTGCTAGAGAGGAGTACAGACCTGGTGAGTTGGTTGTACTGTGGTTAGGGTAGAGTTATTCTTGGTACAGACCTGGTGAGTTGGTTGTACTGTGGTTAGGGTAGAATTATTCTCGGTACAGACCTGGTGAGTTTGTTGTACTGTGGTTAGGGTAGAATTATTCTCGGTACAGACCTGGTGAGTTGGTTGTACTGTGGTTAGGGTAGAGTTATTCTCGGTACAGACCTGGTGAGTTGGTTGTACTGTGGTTAGGGTAGAATTATTCTCGGTACAGACCTGGTGAGTTGGTTGTACTGTGGTTAGGGTAGAATTATTCTCGGTACAGACCTGGTGGTTGGTTGTACTGTGGTTAGGGTAGAATTATTCTCGGTACAGACCTGGTGAGTTGGTTGTACTGTGGTTAGGGTAGAATTATTCTCGGTACAGACCTGGTGAGTTGGTTGTACTGTGGTTAGGGTAGAGTTATTCTCGGTACAGACCTGGTGAGTTGGTTGTACTGTGGTTAGGGTAGAGTTATTCTCGGTACAGACCTGGTGAGTTGGTTGTACTGTGGTTAGGGTAGAGTTATTCTCGGTACAGACCTGGTGGTTGGTTGTACTGTGGTTAGGGTAGAGTTATTCTCGTACAGACCTGGGGTTGGTTGTACTGTGGTTAGGGTAGATTATTCTCGGTACAGACCTGGGTGAGTTGGTTTTACTGTGGTTAGGGTAGAGTTATTCTCGGTACAGACCTGGGAGTTGGGTTGTACTGTGGTTAGGTAGAGTTTTATTCTCGGTACGAACCTGAGTCATTTGTTGTACTGTGGTTAGGGTAGAGTTATTCTCGGTACAGACCTGGTGAGTTGGGTGGGTTGTACTGTACCAGTTTGTTTTAGGGTAAGGGTTAACCCTAACCAATCACAGTGCTCTGGTGGATAGCAACTGGCACCACCTTGTGTTGACTGTTCTTCAGGAGCAATCTATTCCTCACACTTTTCAAGTGGCAAGTTTGTTTGAGCAGAGTTGAATGTATGATAATATAGAATGAACGTTGTCTGTCACTCACTGTCTGCCTGTTGTGTGTTATTGTGCTGCTACAGTGGCCACCAGAGGCAGCATCCTGTACTTCCTCATCACTGTGATGTCCATGGTTAACGTCATGTACCAAACGTCACTACGACAGTTCTTGGGAATCTTTGACCTCTCTCTGGCCAGGTACAGTAGTAATACACTTTTTCTTATACAGAATACCATACATTTGTATTTATGTATTTCATTTTAATTATTAGTCCTCAGTGGTTCAGTCATTTTGTGTAACCATTGAATTGAATGAATATATAATCAATGATTTGTGAATTGATAAGTTACACTGGGGGATTTGTGGTTTTGCAAAGTATTTTGTATAGTTGTAGGAGTCGTCTGATTCTTGAAGTATAATATATGAAACCATAGCAACAGTTATATTTGAATGTTAACATAATAACCACCACACTATGCCTTCTCTGAACAGATCAATCAAAAGTCCAATTACCAGCAAGCGAATAGCGAACATCATTGAGCACATGACCTTCGAGGTGCACAAGTACGCAGCCAGGGGTCTGTATGAGGAGCACAAATTCCTGTTTACCCTCCTGCTGACGCTGAAGATCGACATGCAGAGTAACCGTGTGAAACACGATGAGTTCCTCACCCTCATTAAAGGTGGGAAACAAACTCCATCCTCCAATTAATTCCACCAATCTGTAGTCCACAGTTAATTCAGTCATTGCTGAAAATGTTGAATACCAAAATATTGTTCATTGCTCACAGACCATTGACTTGGAAGGAACCTCCTCTATCTGTCCTATGCAGGAGGTGCCTCTCTGGATCTGAAGGCTTGCCCCCATAAGCCTGCCAAGTGGATCTTAGACATGACTTGGCTCAATCTGGTTGAGCTCAGCAAACTGTGGCAGTTCTCTGATATCCTTGATCAGGTGTGTTCCCCATGCAGTGTTTTCTTACACTGCTACTTCATGTTGTCACACTAATACCCCCCCCCCCCACCACAGTAAACAACCCTATTCATTGTAATGCTCCTCTGTGATGACAGTGCTCCTTTTACTCCTCTGAGCTCTGTCAAATATGGCATTGAACTGAGCTGTGTGTGTGTCTGTGTGTGTCCAGATCTGTCGTAATGAGAAGCAGTGGAAGGCATGGTTTGATAAGGAGGCCCCTGAGGAGGAGGGGATCCCTAATGCCTATGACCAGACCCTGGACTGTTTCCACCGCCTGCTGCTCATACGCTCCTGGTGCCCAGACAGGACCATCGCACAGGTACACCTGTACCTCTCATTGAATGATTCAATCAATCAATTCATTAATCAATCAATCCAAGACATAATACTTTATAAAATGTCTACGCTTTTTGGTATTTTCATCAAAGCTTTGGACTGAGTTTTGAGTATTTCTACTGCATATTGCTTGAATCTAGTAGCAGGTGACTTTTTAACTAATGCTTTACCTGTTGTCCTCCAGGCCCGTAAGTACATAATGGACTCGATGGGAGAGAAGTATGCAGAAGGAGTAATCCTGGACCTGGAGAAGACATGGGAGGAGTCAGACCCCCGGACCCCGCTCATCTGCTTCCTGTCCATGGGCTCAGACCCCACCGACTCCATCAACGTCCTGGGGAAGAGGCTGAAGATAGAGACGCGCTATGTCTCCATGGGCCAGGGACAGGAGGTCCACGCACGCAAGCTGCTCCAGCAGACCATGGCCAACGTGAGTCCTAAACACAGCATTATAGTACACACTGACTGGACTCCTAACAGTCAAGTTATAATTATCCTCGTCCCCAGGCTATTGCGCTTAGTGAGGAAGTCTGGTACGCGAGACTAACTTATTAGGAATCAGCGTTCTGCCATGAATTGTGGTCCATGCCATCTCATTTGTAATCAAATTGGGAATTAAAATTGGGATAGGGATGGAATGTGAATTGAAATTACCCATAGTGTTAATGAAAATGGATGTGATTGATTTAGACTGTATTAGACTGTATATTAGACTGGATTAGAATGGATTAAAAACGAAATGGACTAACACCACATGCATCTCCCTCACATTATTAATTGAATTATATAATTAAGGTAGTAAATAATTACTCTCCCAATATGGACAATAACGTATGTATGATATAATGTTCTATTCTATTCCAAATGCACACACAGGGTGGCTGGGCCTTGCTCCAGAACTGCCACCTGGGACTGGACTTCATGGATGCCTGTGGATTACTACAGAGGTCCACAAACACTTCCCCATCACACTGCTGCAGATGTCCATCAAGTTCACTAATGAGCCTCCCCAGGGACTGAAGGCAGGGCTGAAGAGGACTTATGGAGGTGGGTCACACCACAGTTCACACATACATATGCATGTGTACGCACTTAAACCACAACCCTAAACCACAACCCTTAACCCTTAACCTAGCTTCATGTCCAAATCCTGGTTCAACCCTAGCCTCAACCACAACCCTAATCCTAACCCTAGCATCATGTCCACATCCCAGTTCATCTCTAACCCTAGATTCACGTCCATATCCCGGTTCAACCTTAGCCTCAGCCACAACCCTAATCCTAACCCTAGCTTCATTTCCACATCCCAGTTCAACCCTAGCCTCAACCACAACGCCAACCCTAACCTTAGCATCATGTCCACATCCCGGTTCAATCCTAAACCTAGCCTCAACCACAACGCTAACCCTAACCCACCATTGTTTGTTGCCCCAGGCATTAACCAGGACCTGCTGGATGTCAGTAACATGGTCCAGTGGAGGCCCATGCTGTATGGGGTGGTGTTCCTCCATTCTACAGTCCAGGAGAGGCGTAAATACGGCCCCCTGGGCTGGAACATCCCCTACGAGTTCAACCAGGCTGACTTCAACGCCACCGTGCAGTTTGTCCAGAACCACCTGGACGACATGGACATCAAGAAGGTAGGTGCAGAGATGAGAAGCTTCTGCTGTAACTAAGTAAAGCTCTATCTTCACTTCTCTTTACTGTTAGTACTACTAACTGTCTTCCTATGTAAGATATGCTTGTTCCTGTGTTGATGGTAGTCTGATGTCTCCCCAGGGTGTATCCTGGAATACAGTGCGCTACATGATCGGGGAGATCCAATATGGCGGTAGGGTGACAGACGACTATGACAAGCGTCTGCTCAACACCTTTGCCAAGGTCTGGTTCAGTGAAAACATGTTTGGACCTGACTTCTATTTCTACAAAGGCTACAGCATTCCCAAGTGTAGCAACGTGGACCAATATCTGACATACATTCAGGTCAGTCAATTTTTCACACTCAAAGTCTCTCCTGCAGTTTAAAGTGCTGTGTAACTTGATTGAATGAATGTAGTCAGACTGCATGAAGATGTGTACAGTATATGTTATGTGATGCATTGAGGCATTTGGTAACACTTCCTATGAATACCTTGTTCATAATGCATTATAGGCACTTATAACACCTTATGAGATATCCACAATGTATTACACAGTTTACTGTAGTTTGGTAATGCACAGACATGCGGACTCTGATCTGATGTATTTTCCCCTGCAGGGCCTACCGGCTTACGACACTCCAGAGGTGTTTGGCCTGCACCCCAATGCTGACATAACGTACCAGAGCAAGCTGGTCAAAGATGTCCTGGACACCATCCTGTCCATCCAGCCTAAGGACAGTTCCAGTGGCGGAGGTGAGACCAGGGAGGCCATTGTGGCCAGGCTGGCTGACGACATGCTGGAGAAACTACCTCCAGACTACATACCGTTTGAAGTGAGTAGGACTGGTCTGGAGTTAGCTAACACTACTGGAAATAATCACACATGATTAATGAAGTGCTGGCCATTAAAAATAGGATTTCCCATAATAACTTGCTGCAACAAGGTAGATCGTTGAAAAACTCTCACAGGGTGACGCCAAGTCATCTAACAATATCCCATGCAATGAAATTAATTTCTGAAATATGCCCCATAGTGCAGTGACATGCACTTTGAAGTTAATGTTTTTACTGCAACGCAGGTTTACTTTTTAATGTTCAGAACTGTGGTATGCATTTGCATTCCAATATGTTAAGAATCAAATAAAATAAACGTTTATTTAAAGTGTAATTTCACAAGAACGTGTTTTCAATATATCCAGGTGAAAGAGAGGCTACAGAAGATGGGTCTGCTCCAGCCCATGAACATCTTCCTGCGTCAGGAGATAGTCCGCATGCAGAGGGTCATCGTGCTGGTCAGGAACACGCTGACCGACCTCAAACTGGCCATCGACGGGACCATCATCATGAGTGAGAACCTACGGGACGCGTTGGACTGCATGTATGACGCACGCATCCCCTCACGTTGGAAGAAGGTACGTTTATTACTGGCTCTGGGTACACATTTATTACGTTTTCTATGCATGTATTCCATGTTCTATTTTCTACGTTCTATTCCTGTGTTCTAGGCGTCATGGGCCTCAAGCACTCTAGGGTTCTGGTTTACTGAGTTGCTGGATAGGAACCGTCAGTTCCAGGCGTGGATCTTTGAAGGACGGCCCAACTGTTTCTGGATGACAGGCTTCTTCAACCCACAGGGCTTCCTGACCGCCATGAGACAGGTACAGACGGCACATTCAAACATTCTAATGCAATCACAATTGAACATACTTACTGACTTGGCTAGGTCACTGAGGTTATATGTAGAGGTTGCACACACTACACAGTCATAGTTGATCATGAAGCTACAAAGACAAAGCCAGTCTATGTAACTCGGTTTTTGTGTGTGTAGGAGATCACTCGTGCAAACAAGGGTTGGGCCCTAGACCGTATGGTGCTGTGCAACGAGGTGACCAAGTGGATGAAGGATGACATCACCCAGCCGCCCTCTGAGGGGGTGTATGTGTACGGCCTCTATCTGGAGGGGGCCGGCTGGGACAGGAGGAACTGCAAACTCATCGACTCCAAACCCAAAGTGTTGTTTGAGATGATGCCTGTAGTCAGGATGTATGCTGAAAACAATGGTGAGTGCTGTAGTCAGTAGTTACTGTAACTTCCTGGAGCCTCATAGAACAGTATCTCATTCAACTGCACCTGGTTTTCATCTATACATGATATGTTGAATCTGTCAGCGGAAATTATATAACTTTTAGGTAAATAATGTGGTCTTCAATGGTTACAGTACGTCAGACCTACTGTATGGACAACATACAGTGAAAAATAAACGTACATGTTAACATCATGTATACGTAATGGATGTTTATCATTGCTGTGGTCATTTCAGGAGTCAAGGATGCCCGGTTATACTCCTGTCCCATATATAAGAAGCCTGTAAGGATGGACCTGAATTACATTGCTGCTGTGGAACTGAGGACTGCTCCACCGCCTGAGTACTGGATACTACGTGGTGTGGCACTCCTGTGTGAAGTCAAATAACCTACTTCTATATTGTATAATAAGCCTAAATCATGAAGAGTAGTGTTTCTCAGTGGTTAAAGGGGCAATATGCAGTTCAAACAACAACAAAGTTATACCCCACCACTGTTTTGTTAAACAGCTGAGGGATGGGGCTGGAGAAATGTAACCACTCTCAAATTTAAGTCTAAAAATGGATGTACCAGTCGTAGATTGCTCCTTTAAAGATTAAATGATGGAAGTGTCTTCATTTACATTATAGTGGTAGGCTTCCGTAATAACAAAGTTTCACCTGTCACTGTGTTGCAGGAATAATATAAAAATAAAGTTGCACACACTATCTATACCCCCAATTATTTAATGTCTGAACTATTTTGGGTGTGCTTTTACTTATTTATTTTATTTGAAGGAATAATTTAAAATATCCTTATTTTTGTACATAATTTGGTTGTTACTAGACTACTATACATTGGTAGATGATGTAGTTCTGTATCTTTGTTCAGTCTCAAGCTCAGTCTGAAGAATTGAACTGTACCTGTTAAGAAAATGTTCATATTTCAGTCATTGTTTTTTAAATATTGATTTATAATTTAGATAATATAGATTTAGAATTCTGATACAGAAAATGAATTATAAATGTAACATGTGAATATAAAAACACAACAAAAGCAGTAGAATGATAAAGGCAAGAGAGCACCAGCACATTATCATCAAAAACATATCAACTTGTTAATTCTCCCACGGTTGTATCTTCCTAAATATGTTACATTAAATATTAAAAACATGTCCCGTCACTCCCATTGGTTTTTATCTAGCAGTGGTTAAAGTTAGCTGAAGTTTGTAGTGGCTGTTTAAAGAAATACGAGACATGGATTACAGTTTTTCCTGGCTCATAGACAAATTTCAGGGTAAGGAACCATCTAAAATTGTAAAATACAGAAATTATCCTTTAAGTGAGTCCTAAAACATATCCAGTGGAAACTAGCACACGTGATCACTCACACCTGTTATAAGATATCCAATTAGTTTAGCTGTCTTCCCAACTGTCCTGCAGTCAGATCAGTGAGTCGCACATCAACCAGAGAGAGAGAAAGGAGGAAGGACAGAGGGGTCTGGTTGCAGTCTCTTGCTCCCCTCCCACCCCACCCCATCCCTCTGTGGTCCTCCTCTCTCCCCTGCTGGACTCTCTCTTCCTTCTGAATACTGTTCTCCCCCCTTATCCTCCTCCTCATCCTAAATACTCTCTTTCCTTTGGTATAGATGTAGCAGTACATGTTTTACCTCTTGGTTACGGATGGTATAGACAACAGGGTTGATGCATGGTGGCACCATGAGTAACACTAGAAATGTGACATGCTGGATACTCCCTTGTTGAGACAAGTGAAAGGACAGTTTGCTCTTGTAGTTGCAGATGGTCTAAACAGTATAATATTGGCACCAGCTGCAGTAGAAACATAGAGGTAGTGCCTCATTGTACATACTTTTTGGTATTCTCCAACTGTCTTACATATTCTCCCTAAACATGTTACATTAAATATTTAACTTTTTCAATCACAGACAAACATATATTTTTTTACAAATAAACATGACAGTATAATGCAGGAAATTAATTAATTAAATGATCTCTGGATCAGAGCTCTGTCCCTTTGGCTGTTGTGGCCTGCATGTAGCCGGCATCTCAGCAGCCCTCTTCTCAGGTGAGTTCTGTGGCTCTGGCCTCACAATCTGCTTCGAGACACGGCAGAGGCCGGATCATTCCGGCGATTGTCATAGGATGTTCGATGGTGAGGTATGTATCTGTACCTGGGGCAAAGACTATGTGTTTTCCTGGGGCAAAAATTCAGGATATCACCAGGTTGCTTCCCGAGGCTGTGAGACAGTCACCGTGGGCTGATACTGTCATGGTTCATGTGTGGTCAAATGACATTATGAAAGGCAGCTCAGAACAGCTGAAGATGGATTTTAAAGAACTGACTGGGTCTCTACTTGACACCAACAAATGCCCCATAATATCTGGCCTTCTGCCCTCCCTAAATCGTGGCATTGATAGGTTCAGCAGACTTTTAGCCCTCCGTAACTGGCTACGAAACTATTGCAGCTATGTGGGTGTAATATTTATTGACAATTTGTATACCTTGTGGAAACAAAACTCGTATTATAAGGAGGATGCGATACACCCAAATCATTTGGGTTCCTGAATCCTTTCACAGCATTATAAGGCTGCGTTGAGACAATGACTTATCAATGACCCAAGTCCAGCTAATTGAATCCCTAGCATTGTGTCGTTGAGTTGTCATAATGCTTCAGCAAATGTACATTTTCCTAGGGGCGTTGGAAGACTCAATGTAAGTAACCTAGTTTATGTCCCTCTTACTGCCCTGCAGTAATCATATGCCTATGAACCAGATAAATACTGTTAGCACTGAGGTGGTGTGCCCTAGTAGGAAGTCCACTGTGTGCAGCTCACCCTGCACTAATAAAAATAACCTGAGTATGTCTACCTCTGCTAAGCTTCCCAGTAAAGCAAGAAAAACAATCAAGCATCCCAGAAAAGTGTTAAAAATAGCCCACGTTAACATATGTAGCTTAAGAAACAAGGTTCATGAAATCAATAATTTGCTAGTAACAGATGACATTCATATTCTGACAATCTCTGAAACTCACTTAGATAATACCTTTGATGATACAGTGGTACCAATACATGGTTATAAGATCTACAGAAAATACAGAAATGCTAAAGGTGGAAGTGTGGCTGTTTATATTCAGAACCACATTCCTGTAAAGCTTAGCGAGAATCTCATGTTAAATACTGTTGAAGTAATATGACCCACAGGTTCATCTGCCTCACCTAAAGCCCATTCTGGTGGGAAGCTGCTATAGACCACCAGGTGCTAACTGTCAGTATCTGGATAACATGTGTGAAATGCTTGATAATGTATGTGATATCAATAGAGAGGTATATATTTTTTTGGTGATTTAAATTTTGACTGGCTTTCATCAGGCTGCCCACTCAAGAGAAAGCTTCAAACTGTAACTAGTGCCTGCAACCTGGTTCAGGTTATCAATCAACCTACCATGGTAGTTACAAACAGTACAGGAATGAAATCATCAACATGTATTGATCATATCTTTACTAATGCTGCAGAAATTTGTTTGAAAGCAGTATCCAAATCCATCGGATGTAGTGATCACAATATAGTAGCCATATCTAGGAAAACCAAAGTTCCAAAGGCTGGGCCTAATATTGTGTATAAGAGGTCATACAATCAGTTTTGTAGTGATTCCTATGTTGTTGATGTGAAGAATATTTGTTGGTCCATGGTGTGTAATGACGAGCAACCAGATGCTGCACTTGATACATTTATGAAATTGCTTATTCCAGTTACTAATAAGCATGCACCCATTAAGAAAATGACTGTAAAAACTGTTAAATCCCCGTGGATTGATGAGGAATTGAAAAATGGTATGGTTGAGAGGGATGAGGCAAAAGAGATGGCAAATAGGTCTGGCTGTACAACCGATTGGCAAACGTACTGCAAATTGAGAAATCATGAGACTAAACTGAATAAAAAGAAGAAGAAACTACACTATGAAACAAAGATAAATGACATAAAGAATAATAGTAAAAAACCTTTGGGGCACCTTAAATTACATTTTGGGCAAAAAGGCTAACTCCGCCCCATCATTAATTGAATCAGATGGCTCATTCATCACAAAATCCACTGATATTGCCAACTACTTTAATGATTTTTCCATTGGCAAGATTAGCAAACTTAGGCATGACATGCCAGCAACAAAGGCTGACACTACACATCCAAGTATATCTGACCAAATTATGAAAGACAAGCATTGTAATTTGAATTCCGTAAAGTAAGTGTGGAAGAGGTGAAAAAATGATTGTTGTCTATCAACAATGACAAGCCACCGGGGTCTGACAACTTGGATGGAAAATTACTGAGGATAATAGTGGACGTTATTGCCACTCCTATTTGCCATATCTTCAATTTAAGCCTACTAGAAAGTGTGTGCCCTCAGGCCTGGAAGTAAAAGTTATTCCCCTACCTAAGAATAGTAAAGCCCCCTTAACTGGCTCAAATAGCCGACCAATCAGCCTGTTACCAACCCTTAGTAAACTTTGTGAAAATATTGTGTTCTATCAGATACAATGCTATTTTACAGTAAACAAATTGACATCAGACTTTCAGCACGGTTATAGGAAAGGACAATCAACAAGCACAGCACTTACACAAATTACTGATGATTGGCTGAGAGAAATTGATGATACAAATATTTTGGGAGCTGTTTTGTTAGACTTCAGTGAGGCTTTTGACATTATTGATCATAGTCTCTTGCTGAAAAAACGTATGTGTTATGGCTTTACACCCCCTGCTATATTGTGGATAAAGAGTTACCTGTCTAACAGAACACAGAGGGTGTTCTTTAATGGAAGCCTCTCCAACAAAATCCAGGTAGAATCAGGAATTCCCCAGGGCAGCTGTCTAGGCCCCTTACTTTTTTCTATATTTACCAACGACATGCCACTGGCTTTGAGTAAAGTCAGTGTTTCTATGTATGCGGATGACTCCACGCTATACACGTCAGCTACCACAGCGACTGAAATGACAGCAACACATAAGAGCTGCAGTTAGTTTCAGAATGGGTGGCAAGGAATAAATGAGTCCTAAATATTTCAAAAACTAAAAGCATTGTATTTGAGACAAATCATCCACTAAACCCTAAACCTCAACTAAATCTTGTAATGAATAATGTGGAAATTGAGCAAGTTGAGGAGACTAAACTGCTTGGAATAACCCTGTATTGTAAACTGTCATGGTCAAAACATAATGATACAACAGTAGATAGGATGGGGAGAAGTGCTGCATTCTTCAAGGCAGGTCCTATCAACAAGGCAGGTCCTACAGGCCCTAGTTTCAAATCAAATCAAATCAAATGTTATTGGTCACATGCGCCGAATACAACAGGTGCAGACATTACAGTGAAATGCTTACTTACAGCCCTTA